TTTTTTTTTTTTTCAATTTACAAAACACAATGCACGTACACTTGAAAGTTCACACTTGAATGGCAAAACACACTCGAAATGACTACTCTAGGCTTAATTTCTTCAGCCACTGAATACCAACAAGACCTGTACAGGTATATGGCAAAAACGTTTGGAGATTTTACTGAACTGTTTTTAAGTGATTAAGGGTTATACAGCAACTTTTCATAATTTGTCATATATGTACGTATAATTGAATTATTGCTTTGTTTGCACATACACTATTCAGCTATAATGGTGACTGTTAATGTGAATAGGAGCGATAAAAACATGCTCCACTGTCGCATAACCTTCACCCCATCAGAACCCATGAATTCAAAAGCCAATTTTAACTCCTGTATCAAACGCCTCTTTTTCAGGTTTCATTCCCGGGCTTTGCGATGCTCACAACTTGGAGATAGGAAAAAGTTATTATGTCTTGGCCTACTCCGGCCTCAGGCCGACCAGGGTGCAGGAGGTCACGCTGGACAACTCGGCCATGAACGAACTGACCTCAGTGTGTAACCTACAGATGACGTATCCGCTAGGTGAGTGTGTTAGGTGTGACTGCAAATTGCGCAAGTTTTGATTATGAGTGTGTTAGGTGCGACATTATGCTGGGCATGAATATGACAATGACATCTATTAAATAAACAATGAACCGTTACGACAGCAATCTGTCCGATGTAAAAAATTGAATAACAGGGTCCACTCTGGCATGGGATTTTGTTTAGTAGCCATGCCGTACATCGGAAAATTATACTATGCATGAATGACGCTAAACTTTTCTATAACTTCTTGAAACTGTAGCAATACGATTCATCAAGTTTTTAAATATTAAACGTCTAATTTGTGGTTTCTTTGTGTAACTTTTGTTCTTATCAAATTACTGATTAGAGAACTGAATCAATTTTTTTCTCATATAATCAGGTGTCGATGCCGCCTCCCCACCTGTCAAATGCACAGCCCCTGCTGACCAATCAAGTTGCGTTCAACCATCTCCAGATCGAGGCTGGGGCGAGGAGAGCTCCGAAGCACCACCCGAGGACTCCACTACAGAAGATTCAGCAATGCCAAATTTACAAGAAGGCACTACATTAGGTTCAAATGCTGTGGATGGTGGATCAGGAAGCGCTTCCACTTGGCATTTTGATTCAATAAACATATGCTTGTCGGTCCTTTTTGTGTTACTATGGAACTAAAGGGACTTCTGTTTCCATCCGATCCTCCAAGCTCGTCTCAAAAATAGGCCCGCAGCGACTTTTTTCAACTTACTTCATTTCAAACATATCACCAGAGAGCAGAGAGGTTTTACATGTTAACAATAAAAACTTTGATATAACTGTGAGAAAACGAATATTAAAAAGCCGTCGATAGGACTACATTAATGTAGGCCAACGGATACAAGGTACAGGGTACTTTGTCAGTTGCCCATCATGTTTTTATAATATAGCCAACTGGGAGAAAAATTATAATTTTGTTAACATGTTTATAATTTAAAAACAATTTTTGGCAATTTCATTATATATATTGATCTGTATATCTATAAAAACTATCATCCAATAGTATGTAATATGAGATTAATTTTCAACTGTTGTCATCCTGCTTGAACTCTACTACACATGCATTACATATATCATTATTTATTGTATACGCATTGCCTAAATGAAATAAAACCTTTATATACCAAAGTATAATAAGAAATACTGAAGGCTTTATCCATAATATATATACATATACATCTACCATCGTTCATGCACCTGGCGACTGGTCTTTATCTCACTGTGTGATACCTATTACGTGAAACACACCATCCGCAGTTGGCAAGTATCAGATAACGGGGTGGAATAACCAGGTCTTGGCGCGTTTTATCTGCCCATGGATTCACGAGCCCACCTGGCTATGCTTTCCTGCATGCCATAGGTGTGTTAAGACAAGGATATAAACGCAGACTAAATACTTTACTCGTAGTGGTAACGATCCAGTTCCAATCGTGATGTTAAATATCATACTAACCAATTTTGTAGTTTGGCAGTGGAAATTAGACAGGTTTTTGGTTCTCGTTGCCAATCGACCTGTCAAATTCAGGGTGCATATCAAACGCACTAGTTTGTTGAGAAAGTGATACCGTTCTATAAGAAACACCTGCACACTAACAACTTAAGGGCGTTTTTTTAAATGCTGCGACTGAGTAGAAGGTATAGGCTTTATTATATTATGTGATCTAGTGGAAGACAACGCGCGTTAACATTAACACTCATGCATTTAAACTTTTTTCTTGTGTTTACAATATTACCCCGAGAAATACGTGAAAGTAGGGCGTCTTGTTATATTTTTGTTAAAAAGAGAGGTAGCTTTAACCTTGGACATAATAACGAAAAAATTCTCCATAACCAGCTAACTCTCAATGCTTAAAAATCGCTGAAACCCGTTAACTGTTAAAACACCAACTGGCGTGTATAGCCTACTATATGACGCTGACCCACTAACGCCACCTTTCGAGCTACTCTGAGAACGTTTTACCGGTATTTATCAAAACACTCTCTGCACTGCAGAGAGCGATATCCGCCATGTTACAACTACGATAAATCTTCAGTCATAGTACTACTACATGTATCAGTACAAACGTACTGTGTACAAACAGGTACAGGTGGCGTCTGACGTGTGTCGCCTACGTAGATGTGACGTCATATCACAGTGTCACATCATCCAGCATGGCTCAAATAGCAGTTATAGGGGCGGGGGTTGTTGGCCTCTCCACGGCCGTTTGCGTCCAGGAGAGGATCCCCGGGGCCGTGGTGACCATCATTGCTGAGAAGTTCTCCCCGAACACGACCAGCGACGTGGCGGCGGGGTACTTCGCTCCCAGCACCAAGTATGGTGTCTCTGTGGATAGAATGAGGTTGGTAATAAGAGGGAAAGGGAGGGAGGGGGTTGATGTCCAAGTGAATGTTTTTATTGGAATTACCTTGCTTGTTTTTACCCATTTTTACATAGTATACGCATAAGTCCACCGGTCTATCTCCTTAGCATATTTATTACCTGTGATCAAGACAATATGTATCAGTAAAGGAGATGACCCTTACCTGTTTTTTTTTTTTTTTTTTAGAATCTGAATATTTTAAAAGTATTTAATGGTTGTAACCATGGTCACGGCTCTCATGCCAAGCATGTTACTGAATTTATATTGAGCTTAGTAGGGGACGCCGTAAGAGTTTGAAGATTATTGAGGTCAGCAGGTAATATGCATGACAGTGTGCCTCGCATCTTATAGACTCTTACTTGTGTCAGACATCCGGGTAACCTACGACACAGAAAATAAATTACACTAAATTGCCTGTTTTTTTCATAAATGTCATCGAAGGAAAAACCTGTTTTAGTGGTTAGTAAACGTTGGTGGAGATTTCCAATTCGACACACCTGGAGCGTCATTTCCTTGCCTGGTTAATGTTATAGAAATACACGTACATTTGTAGGTCAAAATTGCTTTAAAGGGAATTTTTTTTTCTTTCTTTCTTACTGTTATTATTATTATTTATTTATTTATTTTATTTTATTTTTTTTAAGGTGGAGGGGGTGATTGCTATACTCCCCTCGGGAAGCAACCCAAACGTTCATTTATATGCATGTTGGCGGTTTACATTCTGGGACGCCACAAAAGAGTACTGGTACATCAGAGGCTGGTACACTATTATATGGCCTGTAAATGAGTCAGAAAAAAATACATTTCTCCTAAATAATTACCGACACTACATAACATTTAGCACGAAACACGCACACACAAAGGGAAAAGTATATACAGTGCATGTAGACGCAGTTAGCACGCATGTTTTGTTTTTTTTTTTTTTAATTTTAGACTTTCTTAAATCGTATAGGCTATGCACAACAGACCCCAATATAAATAAATAAATAAATAAATAATTAAATAAATAAATAAATAATAAATAAATAAAACACGAGAAGGTCCTCTCCTCACAAATATTTATTTCATTTTTCCCTTTTATATGCTACGGAATTAGCGGGAGACCACCTTCCAAACATTTCTTCCGCACTCATCTCTCCAAGTATATCAGGAATCAACGAGGTTCCAACACCCAAAACAGATTCTCTCCCTTTCATAGGGAATCAACCTTATATCATATATCCCAAACAGCTCTTCCGAGCTCATGACTCCGTCACAAAGGGATTCGCCCAGAAAATCTCCCAAACAACGTACATTAATAAACATTTAGCTGTTCACTGTAGTGCGCTAGCTGGTCGAATGGTCTAACGGCGTGAATTATCCACAATTCTTACGAATAGCGCACCTAACACAATGTATATAGTGTCTCCCTCTAGGAGAAAACAATTCCGTTCGATTTTCAACGTCCAATGTGCTCCCCAGCGGACATGTATGAATAAAACCGAGTCTTCGTAGATTAAGAAGTAAATATATTTATAAAAAGAGAAAAAAACCAAATTGAATTCATGATCAGAGACGATTATTTCTAACGGATTATATGCTCATTGAGATTTCTTTCCTTACAGGCAATGGGCGCAGGATTCTTTCAAGCAATATGACCTCATCACACGTTCTGAAGAATCCGCCGATGCTGGTGTTATCCTGTTGTCTGGATACTATTTGTATCATAGCAAAGAAAATGTAACTTGATGATATATTTTTGTATTAGTAAATTATGAAAATATGTCATATCCAAAAATAGTCATAGAAGTCTTTTTTCTCTTTAAACGCCAAAAGAGCGTTTTAATGTAAAAACGCTGGATATATTTGTAGCTAGTTTCAGTGAAATTTCATGAAGCATGCACTTCACATGTAAGTCTCTATTTACTTGTACACTGTACACTCAACTGGAGATCTGAAACAAGAAAGGAGTGAAATGAAGACGCCTGCTCCTCTAGCTAATCCTCAAGATTAAGTGAACACTTCTGTGATTTGTTCAGCAGTCGCAAATTTCTATTCTTAGATCCCAGAATATATGGGCGAAGACGTGCTTTATCAGTGCAGAGATTTAACGGCGAAAGAAATGGGAATGTTTCCAAACTATAAGTAAGTGATGTTCACCATGGTTATCATACTGTTAAATCGGTCGAATTTGACATCGTTGTTGTTGTAAATATTTTATAACCACTGTATCTGCTTTAAGATACAGCTTGGTGTCTCCTTTTATTTTGTATACTACTTAATGTCTAAGTTATTTACATCTTTGTGGACTATCCAGTAGAACATGTACATGTCTATTCAAGCAGTATTTTTCAGGAGGATACGATACATTGTATAGACACATGTTTGAGGACCAACCATTGTAATTCCACTTGTTACCAAAATATATATATAAAGACAACAGCAAACGTATTTGTTAGGTGTGAAAAAAAAAACATGGACCATCCCGAGTTTATTAGGAGAACACTAAAATTGTGTCGGGCCCATTCCTCTGTTGGGTCAAAAAAAAAAGTTTCCTAAGAGTACACCTTGGCGCAGGCCACAAATCGTAACCATTACTTGCAAATTGTTAGCATAGCCAGGTTTATCGATGCTTATGTCAAGATTGTCACCTTGAAATTGAAAGAAGCAAATGCATGAAGATTAAAAAAAACAATACATCATTAATAGCGGGAGATGCATGTTGGTAGTAGAGTCGAGCTAATGTTGCCAGTTTTGAAATACAGGGCTTCATTGTTTCCACGTATTCTATCAGTATTCCTCTATATGACAGTGTTTATTCAGATTCGGTCGGATGGTGACGATATTTGTGACGGAATGTCGCCGATACTTGCCTTGGATGATGACGCGGTTTAAGAAGAATGGAGGTCACGTTGTCCAGCAAAAAGTAGCATCCCTGGAGGAGGTATTCTACAACAGTTCATTTATTGTTTTAAGAACACAGGGCTTTTGTGAAATTCCTAAATTATGGAATATTAGTTATTTACAATTTCATCTAAACACGTGTACTGTTTTGTACATACTGAATTACTATATATATTGACAAGAAACAGTAATCGCTATATACACATCTTTGATAATACTGAATGTCAAATTGATTAACATCCATGGACACTAGCACATTCTTCATGCAATTTTTATTACAGCTTGCAGGCAGGTATGATGTGGTGATGAATTGCTGCGGTCTTGGTGCACGTGATCTGGTCGCACAACATGACGTCACACCGTGGAGAGGTCAGGTGGTACGGGTCAAGGCGCCATGGGTGAAGCACATGATCAGCACTGATGATGGTGTCTATATTGTTCCTTGGTGAGGAGAAAATGTTTGCAATGTACTGAATTTCTGGAATTGTCTCTGCCCCCTACTTTCCCCTTTTTAAAAATGGTGTAATTTTTTTTCTGGGAAAATGGGTGTGTGGAGCAAATTTCAGAGTGTATCTCTGTACCCCATTTTGGGAAAGTTGGGGGATGAACTGTCATTTTATCCTGATAAAATTGAGGCATTTATTTTTGGTGTTTGTAAAACATTACATGTACAATAATGTACACAGATATATGCATGTTTATCAGTCTCAGCCAAATGTAATAAATGTAAAATATTTTAAAAGCGTCGTCCTCTTTGATTCCTAATAACTCTCGTGTCCTGTCTTGTATACTACAGCGTGGACAGCGTGGTACTTGGTGGCGTGAAGGAGGTTGGTCACACTAACCTTAACGTGGACGAAGAGACCAAAAACAGAATTATCAAACGATGTTTAGAGCTGATGCCTTCTTTAAAGGTATGTGCAAGAAATTTTCTCACACAGGGTACATTGGGAAATTTACCACTTCCAACCATACATGCATTGCAACTCACCTACTAAGAGTAAGACACGAAGTGTGTGCCCACCATGGCATTCCTTTTAGTCACTAACGGCAATTTTGTTTAAAATGGCATTCAACATTAATGGCTTGGCATAACGACATATCTGTTAAAACAAAGTGCCAGTTCATATTTATCTTTTAGCATTTTGCCCTTGGTTGTAATTCTCTCACTCTACGCTATTTCAGAACGCGGAATTTCTATATGACGGGGTTGGTCTGCGCCCCCATCGAGAACCGCTGAGATTAGAGCTGGAGTGTGTTCGTTTCGGTGAAAAGGCACTAAAGGTAAATGAAGAGAAAAACAAGTAAATCTCTTGCTAAAATGGCCATCTCATACACCTCCTTTATTAGTTTTTAGTTCGGGATTTAATGCTCAATCACGGTTTTTGTTGTTATTCTTTAAATAACAAGACAGATATACATCTACCTATAATTCTCTTGTTGCTTAATACGTGTATATCGCACAATAGGTCACTATAATGGCATGGGCTTTTTACAATGTTTTAATGGATTTAGTTAATTGCTTTGCAGGTGATTCACAACTACGGCCACGGTCCTATAGGAGTTTCATTGAGCTGGGGAACAGCCGTGGAGGCAGTGAGACTGGCCCAGAATGCACTGCGGTCTCAGCAAACCAGCAAACTATGAGAGGCATCAGCGTCATTAATGTTAATTTTTTTATGAATCCTTTTGTTGTATTTAATGGTAACCTATTTGTTATAAAGAATTTACCTTTAAATTTACAGAGATTATTTTCATTGTCATCTAGAACAATTAACGACAGTAAAGTACAACTGCAGGTATATGCATAATAATAAATTCTAAATGGAATAAAATTTGCCTCAATATAAATAATCTAATATTAAACTAAATGCCATTCATTTGCTACTGCTGTTGCTGTACATTTGAGAGCAGTATCATATTAGTCACGAAAAATGTCAACCACCGTTCAATTTTTAAGGATAAAATGGTTCTGCCTCGACATGTATGGACTTTCTTGAACTTAGATAAGGAGAAGGTAATTATTTCGGATTACATCTTAATTTCCATTCAGCGTACCAATGTCGTTCAAAGACCATATGGAACAATCCTGGCTAAGCCATATAGTACCCGTACATGATTATGTACCAGTAAGCTTGGATCAGATCCAACCTTCTCGGAGTGGCAATGTTGGCCCGAGTTCGGACAAATTCGGACTCACCTCCGCTTGCAGTCATTCAGTAAAATGCCCGTTTACAATCGTTTACACGTGCATGACGCTTAACGAAACATTTGCTCCACGCGAGCATAATAAATTAACACTAACAAGCAATTTCTGTTATGGCTTGTTAATGGCTGAAAAGGTTAAAATTCAAGTTTATTTTTAGATGTCCCTTTTAAAGCTATAATTGCACATAATATTGGATAACAAGCCTCTGTTATAGCGGACCCATGTAGGACGAGATTTGTGCTCGGCGTGTTCTCATATGGAGCATTTAACAGAAGCTACACCCGTGTACAACTTGGAATCACGCTAGAAGCCCAGCCTACTTGTTTTTCCTTTTTTACCCCAAACCTCGGTGAATCTGGCGTTCTCAAAATAAAAAACTGTGTCAGTTTAGAAATATGCATTACTCTATTTACCCTACTCTCCCTACTCTACCCCGTATCCGTCTTGGTGTATACACACAGAAAGCATACACTCGAGAATGTGTGTCACCACCTGATAAGATCGTAATCGTAAAGCACCCAGCAGCAAGTTGGTCCTATGGGGTAGTCGTGACGATCCCGTGAACTAGCTGCACTAATACCCAGTAGACACTTCACGATGGCTAACATAGCAGTGATCGGAGCTGGAGTTGTCGGACTGTCCACCGCCATTAACATCATAGAGAGCGTCCCAGACGCTAGGGTCACTATCTATGCTGACCGATGGTCACCGGACACCCTCAGTGACGGAGCGGCTGGGTGCTTTGGACCCAAACTTGGGGGTCCTATGTACCCCATGGGTATAGAGTTGAAGCGGTTTAAGTAAGTACATTGATAAAAAGAAATGCATGTAAGAATCTATGATTCAGTTCAAAAAAAAAAAAATACCTGCATGTTGCATGTTTTTGCATTTTAGTTAAATTAAAATGTTGAAGCAGATACAATTCAAGATAAAAACCCAAAGTAGTTTTGAAATCTACACTAACCGAACGTGCCCAGAAACCGTCGTTGAATGTGGCATACCGCTATGCTTCTATTTTGACCATGGCATCATGCTAACGCTAGTTTATCACAGTTTCTGTAAACATTTAACCTTATATTTAGCATGTATATCTAAGCCTACCGTATGATATATGTAAGCTCTCATTATCTTTATATGGAAGAGTAGTAGATACAGCGACTGAAATTAAAATAATGTCTCACTTGCTTGACTGTTTCCGGTCGGAATTGTGTGTGTGGGACCCTTGCCCACCTTTGCTCCATCACTGTAGACTTGGTATAATTTTTCTTTCACTGTAGAACCTGGGCAAGAGACTCGTTCCAGCACTACGACGCCATTGCCCACTCGGCGGAGTCTGCAGAGGCCGGTGTGTTTCCAGTCTCTGGCTACAGGTTATACTGCAGGCCTGAAAACGTGAGTGTAGACCATACAGCTTTTTCTCAATATCGTGAGGCTGTCTAGGTATGATATGGTATGGTATGGTATGGTATGGAAGCAACATGTCATTTAAGAAAATATTGTTGGTTCGTATCGATTTACCGCAGTAGATTTTTGATAGCGTATGGCAATATGTAGTAAAGTATGGTCATTTTTGGGCGTGGTGTTATTTTAGGTTGCACCGTACCGTGCTCTGGAACTCATGTCCAACTACAAAGAACTCTCTAAAGAAGAGATGAAGAAGTTTCCACCCAAGTATAAGTATGCACTGTCATCTTTTAAATAATTTGGCACTCGATTGGCATTCGATTGGCTCAAAACTGTTTTCATGAGTTACTATGCTAAGTCAGATATTTCAATACAAAAGCAAAAATTAAAAATTTAGCATTGTAGTGTCGATGTCTTGATGATCTCTTTCATTTCAGTTATGGGAATACGCAATTTGGGTAGTGGTTATGTGCAGTTTCACATTTGATAAACGCTTTACAATCAAAAGCGCGCAGAACACAAAATCACACAACGGAAAAAAAGGTGTTCATATACAGTGTACAAGAAGATCTGGTATTACTATATATGTCGACATAATATATGCTACATGAAGTTCCCATAGATAGGTTCAAAATATCAAACATTTAAACATTTTCAGAGTCGGTTTCTTTTTCACAACGTTAATAGCAGAGTGTCACCGTTATCTACCTTGGCTTTTGAAGCGGTTTAAGAGCAAGGGTGGTCACGTGGTGCAACAGAAGATGACAACATTAAAGCAGGTAGTGTCGGGATTAATATGATAGTTTCGAAGAATGACAACACACAAAATGGCGTGTTTGTCTGATTTTTTTTTTTTTTTTACTATTTCATCGGAAGGTTTGCTTCAAAATTAGGCTAAAGAATTCAAATAAGTTCCATGAAAGAGAGAAAGAACATTTCGAAATTATTTGAAATAGCCTGTAAAATAGTGTCGTTGCTTGTTGGGAATATCATTTAATAAAGCTGAATTCAGTTTTATGCCATTGCGAAAAAGAGTTAATTAAGTAACCGAGAACAAACGATTAATATTTTCATATATTGCATATTAAAATGCCCGTCTCTAATTCATACTATTCATAAAACTTGACACCCAGTTCTGTGGTCAGTACGACCTGGTGGTCAACTGCACTGGTATTGGGGCCAGAGAACTGCTGGGGGACACTGTCCTGAGGCCAATGAGGGGACAGGTCATGCGCGTAAAGGCCCCTTGGATTAAGCATTACTACTTTACTGACAGTGACTGCTATATATACCCATGGTAAGATAGCTATATCATTATTACTAATTGTGATATACTTTCGCAGGCTCGTGTTAAACATTTTTTATAAGACAGTCATTCCAAGCTTACACAACAGGAGCGAGTATAGTTCTGTTGGGGCTCTAATAACCACTAGTGTTTTCCAACTGTAATCTTTCCAACTGTATCAAACAGAGATACTGGTACATAAATTATGTCGTATATATATAATCTACATGTATTGGCAACTGTGTTTTCTTTGCTCCAGCGCAGACGACGTTGTCGTAGGGGGCGTGAAACAGTATGATGAGTACAGCACCGTCGTAAATGAGAGAGACAAAGCTACAATTCTGAAAAACTGTCTAGAGATGGTACCGTCATTAAAGGTAATGGTACCGAGTATCAAAGTCTATCCGATTACGCATTTCAGTATTACGTCTTTATCAAGTCTTTACTAGTGGAATGTAGTTTTGAAGTCTGAATGTCCACCATTTTCGATTAAAATCGCGAGGCATTCAGTCTTAATTGTTGGTTGATCTGTCACCACCGCTAGCCGCTCAATATCTATGTACAGAAAGCAAGCAACCTACCTCGGATACAGTGTCCTAAACGAGTTTTGTTAATTTGGTCAGTACGTGGTCAAAAGGTAACATGTTTCTAGCAATCGTATTGCTGACCGAGACATATAGAATAAATCCGTGAAATTTCCATAGTGGAAAAAAAACACCAGAGAGAAGTGTTTCCAAATGATGAAAATATTTTGATTCCAGGACGCAGAGTTCAAATTTGACTGGGTTGGTCTGAGACCCTCGCGGAATCCAGTACGGGTAGAATTCGAAGCAATCAAATATGGAGATGATACCTTGAAGGTATGTTAACCAGAACCTGTAGGTTGTCTTGTGATAAGTTTTAATTAAATTATATCAATTCAACACAAATCATGCCAGTGTTTTCATGGTGTCCAAAATTCTAGCTTCTTCATTAAATTTAAGACATGTTATCGCTAAAACCATTGAACTAAATTTACCTTTTGTATAATTCTAGAAGCATGTCTTTCCATTCAAGTTAAAGTTTCTAAATAAAAAAGACCGTCAAACTAACTTATTTTTGCAATTTATTCTTTGTCGTGTTGGACATTTAGTGCTGAATTCTTACAAGAATTATAAGCTTCCATTATGGCCGGTTCAAATAGTTGTATTGCACGGCTTATATTGTATACAAAACAAAAAAATTCAACTTTGAAACCGGATTTTTTTTTTCGCTAATGCAGACGTAGCCATACTTTAATCAAAGATTTCTGGTCAAGAAGCTTTCCGCGTATTATATTTGATTATTCATAAATCTATTTATATTAAAAAGTGTTTGTCTAAACTTATTCGGTGTCACGAAACAGTGCTACTTACAGGTACCGCTTTCATTTATTTCCACCAGGTCGTCCATAACTACGGGCACGGCGCAAGCGGAATTGGTCTTAGTTGGGGCACTGCTGTGGAGGCGACACACCTGGTGATGAAGGCATTAGGGAAATTTTCTACAAGCAAGCTGTAAATTTTCATTCCGTGCGTTGGAAAACCAATACAGACACTGCCGTCCAATCGCTATTTTCTGCATTATACTAGTAGACCTGTTCCATCGTGAAAGTCCTCAAAGTTNATCACATCACAGATAACGATCGGCAGTTATATTAAGGCCGATTTTATCTCTTAACCAGGTGTGCAGCGGCTAATTACAAAGGCCTGTAAAGGAAATCGACCAGGTAAATAACTCATCCTTACTGACACAAGTGGTCAGGCACTGTGGAGTATGATATCTTCAGACAAAGTCTGCCAACTTTTACAGAGAAGTCAATGCGATCCGCCATGTTGCCCGATTTGTTTTACCCCAGATGCCGGTTGCTAAGGCGCGTGACGTCAGCCCGACTGTCCCTATACCAATGTCCGGTCTTTTACACACACACACACACTCACACACACGTATATTTCAGATTCCCCTCTTTTTATTAGTCAGGCAAATTGAGGCCAGTGCAGGCACATATTCTAGTACTTGTACGCGCTCACATATTGATCGCCTCGTCCGAGAATATAAGGATATATATTCACGCTTCGTTATGTTGTGCTTCATAAGTAGGTCAGGTTTCTCGCCGAGCCAACAGTCATTTCAGGTTCAAACAGTACAGGCACATTTGTGCAAGGCATCAACTACATGCAACCACCTATTTACCCGTGAAGCGATGAATTGACCCATATACCGAACCGCAAGTGGCCCCATATATAAAACCATAAAGAGAAAGAGGTGGTATGCGATATCACAGAGAATATCATGTGGACTGAATGACTCAAAGCAATGGCTAACATAGCAGTGATCGGAGCTGGAGTTGTCGGACTGTCTACCGCTGTTAACATCATAGAGAGCGTCCCAGACGCTAGGGTCACTATCTATGCTGACCGATGGTCACCTGATACCGTCAGCGACGGAGCGGCTGGGTGCTTTGGGCCCAAACTTGGGGGTCCTATGTATCCCATGGGCATAGGATTGGACCGTTTTAAGTATGTTAGTTCTTTACACACATTAGGCGATGTATTGAATACTTTAAAAACCTTTAAAACATTGCAAATTAAATTTTAGTCTATACTGTCGTCTTTTGTGTAAAGGCGGCACAATTTTTTCTTAATATATGCATATAGCTGTTTATACACAGTCATGAGGATATTGCATGGATCGATGGTTTTGTTGAATGCAGAAGGTGGTGCTAGGTTAATATAATATAGTGCAAGAGTCGGTGACTTGTTCTGTAATATCCAGGGCACGGAGTTGAAAATTTGTTTGATTTTGTCTTATAGTTATATGGCAGTGGGAAGGGGGGAGGGGTGCATGTATCTCTGAAGCAATTAAGGGGGGAAGGTATGTGGGTCCCATAGAGCTCCCTGGATCCTGGATATTTCCCTATAAGCCCTTGAATATTTGCAAGACTTGTTCAATCCAGAATGTCGTCGATTTTCTCTAGAATATGGGGCAGGGATTCATTCAGGCACTACGACGCCGTGGCTCATTCAGCAGACTCGTCAGAAGCCGGTGTCTTTGTCTTGTCTGGATATGAACTTTACAGCAAACCTGAGAACGTGAGTAAATCAATGTAAATCATTCCAGTTTTGTTCTCATGTACTAGTAGCAAAAATTAGAAAACATGCACTTTATTTACCGTGTGTTTACAGTGTAACCACGCTAAATATCGCTTGCATGAGTTTGTGCACTAACATAAATAAGAACCAGAACGCAACGCTACATGTATTTTTACACAAGCACCGGTTATGCAGTAGATGCATATACTCCTATATATAGGGCCTATTTTTTCTTTCCACAGTTCGAGAATTCCAGGGTAGAATTTGAACTTTCATTGGCCTGAAGCCCTTAGCTAATAACCTATTCTTATAATGTGCGTGTTACCTGTAAATCAAAAATTGTTATTATTTTAGCTGTTAATCATTATAAAATATTGAATCAACATTGACAAAATAACCTATTTTGTGCACCATTATTTTCTGCTTTATGTCTGTGCATTTGACAGGTTTACTGTTTTGTTAATAGTTAGCACCACAGTTACGCACCATTTAGGTCCGGTTCAGTATAAGGTCAATCGTTTCTCCAGTGTAGATAAAAACCTGTGCATCACTTGGTTTTAGGTATCCCCCTACAATGCTACAGAACTGATGTATAACTACAGAGAACTCACCAAAGAAGAGATGAAAAGGTTCCCTCCCAAGTACAAGTAAGTACGAGCGTTTTATTGTTATTTTTATTTTTTATTTATTTATTTATTTATTTATTTATTGTGAAGATGTTATAAAATTTAAAAGCGGGATTGGTGGGGGTTAAGTCTTATAACCTTAATCCGCATCAATGTAAACAAAAGCATGCAAAGAACAATAACAGACACAAGAAACATTTTAATAATTCCATTTTCAGAGTTGGGTATTTTGTCACTACGCTTATGGCGGAGTGTCAACGCTACCTTCCGTGGCTTCTGAAACGTTTTAAGGGCAAAGGTGGTCACGTGGTACAGCAGAGGGTACAAACGTTGCAACAGGTAATGGGCATTGTATGATGATATCAGTACATTGAAATGTATCGGTATGGTTCCATACCATCGATTAGTTTGTGAACAATTATCAATACCATTTGCCCATTAGAATCAGATGTTAAAGTCGTATCTATATACCGGGTATTTCCCCCTCCATTGTTTTGGACAGCAGCGGTTTTTGTAGTCTTTCCTGGTACAATGAATCTGTTTTTCATACTATTGTTTGACTATGTGTTTTATTCCCAATTAAGTTCTGTGGTCAGTACGACCTGGTGGTCAACTGCACTGGTATTGGGGCCAGAGAACTGCTGGGGGACACCGTCCTGAAACCCATGAGAGGACAGGTCATGCGCGTGAAGGCCCCGTGGATTAGGCATTACTACTTTACAGACAGTGACTGTTATATTTACCCTGGGTGAGCTGTACAAGATGCCATACTGTAATATATTGTTGACCTTTGGAGAAATTGAATAGGACCTTTATATGGTCCTTGTTTAGCATTTAGAAAGTGTTGTTATTTTTTTTAATATTAATGTCGTTTTACATATAACTTCGTGACATTGAATAAACTTGTTTTTTTTTTCAAGACAAGATGCAGTTGTCTTGGGAGGAGTGAAACAATACAATGAAGACAGCTTGGAGGTGAATGAGAAAGACAAAGCTACGATATTGAAAAACTGCTTGGAGATGGTCCCCTCTTTAAAGGTAAGAAATCACCTCCTGAAGGCGATTGTTTATGGGCACCAAGGCGACCAAAATCGGTTTACGTTTCATAATGTAAAACAGTGTGAAGATATCAAATAGCTCTTTCAGCAAAATCAAGGTTCGTTGATCGTGCAAAGGTTTGTTCTTTATCTTCTATTTGCAGACAGATCCATTAGCAGTAAATGAATTTTCCCTTTATTGATTTTTCACGATGGATAAAGTGTGTTGTGGGAATAGCGAACAATTTATGAGTCATTTTTCATATCTAGGTGACATTTTGGAAAAATTATGAACAAAATACATACGTCAAATTTTATTTCGCTTACAGGACGCAGAGTTCAAGTATGACTGGGTCGGTCTTAGGCCGTCGAGGAAACCAGTTCGTGTGGAATTGGAGGAAATGAAATTTGGAGACGATATCTTAAAGGCAAGGAAAAAAAATAGAAAATAAAAGCCTAGAGTTGGGACTTTGTTACTTTTATGTGCCCGGCACCCTACAATCGCCTGAAATATTTAATCTGAGCATAGACCGTATTGTGACACAAAATTGTGTTGAATGGTTTAAGTCTCCCAGAAACAGTGGTAATTCAATATAGTATTCTAAATTGGATCGTGGTCACGTATTCCTTCCTCGTGTAGCATTCTGAAACGTGTAGGTAATACGGGCATTCAACAGACACCATAACCAATAGCTTTTCTAAAAACACTGTTGTTACAACATAAGATCACTTTAATTTATCAAATGTAATTTCTATACCACCAGGTCGTCCATAACTACGGCCACGGCGCCAGCGGGATTGGCCTCAGTTGGGGTACTGCCGTGGAGGCGACACACCTGGTGATGAAGGCATTACGGAAGTTCCCTGCAAGTAAACTATAGCGGCGTCCCGCACGCATTGGAGCGACACCTATGGATTTTCCAAAGAACTTTGCGGGGCATTTCAAGGTCTTATTGTATAAGAAGTGGTTAAATGCACATGCATCAATATATAGACTGACTTCATTTGTTATTTGTTAGAATACATAATTTGAAAACAAAGACTATTAGCATTATTTTAAGATAAACACTATTATATAAAAATAGTTTGTTACAGGCTGTAACTGTAATGGTAAGAAAGTGAAGTGGAAATAATTACATATCTTATTGGGATTTTTCTAAAAAAAGTAAAAATTTGCATATGCACTTTGTCATCTGTAATAAACGATTGTTTCATTAGTACCGAGTGATACTGTCGCATTTTCCTTCGGTTTTGTTAGCAGCAACCCATGCATTAGTTTTTAAAACACATCTTGTGGATAATCTTGTTTGTGACTAGAGAATGACAAAAAATTGAAAAACTAAGCAAGTATTTTTTGTAAGTCCATTGCGTTAAGTGTGATGTAGAGTTATCGAAAAATACATGCTGGGCGATCTGGCCATTGTGAATATTGTTTTCCCAACAGCACTTGGTATTTCCCTGTGTGTAATATACAGTTCATGTTAGAGTACGTCACTAAAATTCTGTGAAAGTGTTTGAATGGTGACTTTTGCCTAACTAATGTTCAGTTTCACATACACCAGTGGACACAAACTCGAGTGCGTGCTCGCACGCACACACCATTCAGGGCCGTAGCCTGAGCAAAATGCCAGGGGGGGCAGTAAGCTGACACGAGGGGGCGAAGCTACCGAGGGGGGAGGGTGTGGTGTGTAAAATTCCANCCTGCCCCCCCCGGAGGCTACGGCCCTGCCATTTATTCGCTCTACAAATCGTCTGTGGTGATAAGTTTTCCCGTGCATACGATATAATTCCCTGATGAACTTTACCTTCAGCCAGTCATGTCTCACGGGGAAAGTAAGAGTTTAGGCACGCATGGATTAATTTTTGAGACAAGCATAAAAAAAACGTGTTATAACTCAATAATGTTGAATGTATCTGAGGTTCATGTACCATCTTCTGGAAAACAGGCGTTAGTGCGCCTGTACTTTTACGCGTGCACTCAGTACACTCAACAATGGCGAACATAGCAGTGATCGGAGCCGGAGTTGTTGGACTATCCACCGCCGTTAACATCATAGAGAGCGTTCCTGACGCTCAGGTCACTATCTTTGCTGACCGATGGTCACCAGACACCACCAGTGACGGTGCTGGCGGGGTGTTCTCTCCCAGGTTCACGGCCGATGGATACGGGTACGGCGTTCCTCTCGAACGCTTCAGGTAGGTGGTTATCGATTTGAAGCAACGGAACTAGGTCACGGGTGAAGGTCGAATTTGTTTGGGTTCAAATGAGTGTTTGCATTGCTACGTGGAGAAGAAGAAAATATATATCAATATGAAATGGAAAATCTATGATGAGCAAAGGTCGACATTAAATGCATATAAAAAGACTTCCTGTACACATTTCGAAGCGTTTAATGAAGTTGTTTAACAAGTAGGCCCCTACATGTAGGCCTACCATGCGTAGCCTACGGCTCTACCGGTAGTTGATTCTCTAAGAAAATAGCGTGGGTATAGTAAATGTATCTATATAATCAGAGCCGATAAAAACGCCGGACAATGTTATTGGTTTACAAGAAAAGTAGGAAGTATTTATTTCCTTCTTTCAGACAATGGTCCAAGGATTCTTTTAAAAATTACGACTCCATTGCCCGGTCAGCCGATTCTTTCAACGCAGGCGTGATGGCTATTTCCGGATACAAGTTATACAGCAAGAAAGAGAACGTGAGATTGCGATTTGAACAGCTTGCATGTAGATTATGGTAAACGTCACATTCACAGTAAAATATGTGACGATGTGACTTACATGTAGTGCCGCTTTTTTGTTTTGGCCATCTCCACCTCTTGGCATGACGGGTTGCTTGCCTTAATTTTTGTTGTTAAGCGACAGGTATTATTTTTGTGTTACACCGATTCCTTTTGGGCGGGATTTAATTAATCCGCCACAGCTATACTTTAAATGTGTCAAGACATTCCGGTTAAATGAGGATTTCTTGGTCAGAATATTGAAGTTGCTCACATTATCAGTAAGCTCTATAACAGAGATAGATGTGTCAAGTGAATCAGATTATAAGCCCGATGTCAAATTAAAAGCAAGTCTAGTTTTAATTATCTTAAAGACGATTTATTACGTTAACGGACAACCAAGTCATCTAATTGTATTAGTTGCGCAATGAACCACTCCTGGATTTCGATTCAACATGCATATACAATGTACCGGTAGTAAGCCCAAATTTAAATTGAAGTGGAAGAATTTTGGAGACCTCATTTGCATAGAAATCGGTTTAAATAATTTTGTTTCGTTCCTTTTTTAGGTGGCAGCGTATTTCTCCCAAGACATTATATACCACTGGAAGGAACTTAGTCCAGAAGAAATGAAGAAAATGTTTCCACCGAAGTTCAAGTAAGTCTTTCCATATGTCCATCCTACCCCACTTCTTCTTCTTTTTCATCTTCTTCCCTTTTTCTCTCTTCTCCTGAGTTCTGCGATTTATAATTTCAGTGTTGGGACCAATAACAGATTTAACTAGAAAAGCACTCCGAGAGCGCATACCTCCGCCAAGGCAGCAAAGTCTCCACCCAATGTCGTTTCTCCCCTAAATTTTCATTACCCCCGCCAAGGAGGTTATGTTTTCACCACTGTTTGTCTGTCTGTCTGTCTGTCTGTCTGTCATCAACATAACTCAAAACGTTATGGACCGATTTTGATGAAATTTTCAGGAACTGTCAGAAGTGGGCCAAGGAAGAGATGGTTAGTTTTTGTTGGTGATCCGGATCAATAATCAATCAATAACCAATAATCAAAATATCGAAAATTTAGGGGTGAAACGGCATTGGATGGAGACTTTGCTACCTTGGCGGAGGTCTGCGCTCTCTGAGTGCTTTTCTAGTTACAATGTACTTTTATCCAATAGCTTACCCACATGTATCCATATAAACGTGACCTTTGAACTTGCTCCTGTGCAATGATATTATCCCCTGTTCCAGGGTCGGATTCTTCATGAGCACCGTCCTTGTGGAGTGTCAGAGATACCTTCCCTGGTTAACTCGGAGATTTATACGGAAAGGTGGTAAACTAGTAGACAGGAAAGTCGAAAGCTTACAACAGGCAAGTGTATTTTTAAGTCCTCTGTCTTGAGTTAATTCCGGGGTCCATTAGAAAGTTAGGTTTATTTAACTATCATGTTCCTGTTTTAAAAATGAAAAAAAGCCTTATGTACTGCGTCCTTGCTTAAGCTGCTACACTACGATATTGATGACACACTTTGCGACCACCTCTTTGAGAACATTTTAGGAGCTGTTGGTCCACAATAAATGACATACAAGTATCCGAATGGTTTGTGGGCCACTGAGAGCATTTAATACAAATATTCTACTGTATTATCACACTATTTTATGAACGTAATTTCATCTTGGTATATCTGTGCAGTTTGCTGGACGATACGACGTGGTGGTAAACTGTTGCGGGCTGGGAGCACGTGACCTGCTTGCTGATGACGTCATCAGACCCTTGCGGGGCCAAGTTATACGTGTCAAAGCGCCCTGGATAAAACATTTCTATTCCACAGACACCGACTGCTACATATATCCAGGGTAAGGTCTAAATAAATGTTTCAATCTATAGTTAAAACCATAATCTTACATTATTTGGACCACAAAGATAGAAATCAGATTCCTTTGCCAGGCACCAGTAGTGCTTTTGGAACAAATCGTTCATGTCCAATATATGTTGTAAAACAAACAAATAGATTCACTAGTGGATGAAGGATATTAAAAAGTTTGGCAGCAATATTATTTTTATTTATTTATTTATTTATTTATTCCTTCATTCTTAATTCATTTATTTTAAAATAAATTTTGAAATCTGTAAAATATGGGAAAGATTACGTTACGGTGACGCCATTTTCTTCTTATCCAATCACAGCGTGGATACCGTGGTCCTTGGTGGCGTCAAACAGTTGGACAATTTTAACTTAGAGGTCGATCCTGGGGACAAGGCAAAGATCAAGAAGAACTGCACTGAGCTTGTGCCTTCTTTAAAAGTGCGTTAGATTTCAAACAACTACAGTAAATTATGAAAATCAGAACTCGTAATGGACGCTATCATCACTTACAGTGGACGACACCCACTTTACGTTGGTTTTTATTCAGTTTACTGTTTGTCATGGTCTGTGTGCTAAAACACTACGTTTTTGTCATATTTCAAGAAAGTTTTATTGTGTTTGATGTATTTGATTATTTTAGGGCGAGGGGGGAAATTTGTGGAATACGATATGAAAACTACATGTACTTGGATTTTATCGGAAGCATTTTAAAGTGTGCCGATATTGTCATATCACTATTTGTACCTTCACCCTCAGATACCGGTAATGTCATCAGCTGTGTTACGCACCCATAGTTAAATATTAAACTCTTCACGCAATAGCTAAACTCTTTTTAACACTTATTTCCAATTATTTCAATCAAATACTGTATCATTTGTCATTGGATCATTTGTCATTCGAATAAGCTTTGTCTGTAATTCTGATGCCTTCATATATTTGATCCACGCCAGGACGCTGAATTCTTGTGTGATTGGGTTGGTCTACGGCCACTGAGGGAACCACTACGATTAGAACGAGAAGACATGAAATTCGGGGACCGATATCTGAAGGTAGTTTTAAATATCCTTATTTTGTCTGTAAATCACGAAAGTGACTCAACATGACGATATCTTTGGAAATTATAATGTGCTGTTTGGAGTACAGTATTAAAATGTCTAATAACAGGCCAAGTTTATCCTGAATTGTCAAATGATTCTAATACAGACAACATATATGGGGCGCCCTATTGACACAGTGTGTGTTTCTAAAAAAAATCAGTTTTTTAAACTTTCCTCTCAGTATATAATCCCACACGAGGCAAATTCAAGACAAATTTACGACAAATATTTTACTGGTGCTGATTTTTCGATTTAAAATATGTTCACTAATTTATTCTGTGTGTTCGGACAGGTTGTCCACAATTACGGTCACGGACAGAGTGGCGTTGGGCTGAGCTGGGGGACGGCCGTTGAAGCCACAAAACTTGTACAGGAGGCACTGGGTCCGAAGACAGTGAGCAAACTGTGACTGTTCTGGACGGGCGAGTACAGACACATAGCGAACCAATGGTTGTCAGCGTTACTTAAACAGTGTACAGCGAATCAATGGTTGTCAGCGTTACTTGTTCAGTACTGGCCATGCAGTAAGCAAATGGTGACCTTGCTACACGTTTCAAAGAAGTAATTTTTTTATTTCACGACATTTTGAAAAAAAATTGCGTTGATGGATACAGACTACAAGTGTGATGTATTACACATATTTCAAGATAAACCCTCTCTTATAATAACCACGTACCCTTCTGCCGTGAAACATTTACAAATGTTAGAATCTATATATATAAAGATAGCCCTGTTTACCTTCAATGACAACAGCAGCAAGAACCAAAAGTACAATAAGAACGCACGTCTTCATTTTTGTAGTGAAAGTCTAGAGAAGTCTGTACAAGTCTTTCCATCTGATTTCCCTGCAAAAGGTTGACTAATATACAGTTGTCAGTAGTCTAATTATCATGCATTTTCCATCACACGACAACAAATATGCGGAAAAGTTGCAAATAAAATATTTATATTTTGACCCTTCCTTGCTCTTTCTTATTTCCGCAACCCTTCAAAGTCAGGACAGATGGCTTCATTTTCTGTGACAAGGACGATGTATAAGCACCTAAAGTGTTTTTATAGCCAGCACAAGGTAGTTTTTTTTCAAAAGATTTATTAGTCATTTTTTTCAACTTTTCACGTGTGTACATTCTTCAAACGTAATAAGAATATAAATATACTGATCGTCTTAACTGATATATGCCTAGATGTGTATTTGTGTGTGTGTGTGTTTGTGGAGAGAGAGATAGAGAGAAACAATTTGGTCTTCAAAACCTACACTGACGGCATGGCTGTTGTCTCAAATAGAGTTAACCAACCCTTCTCTCCAACAAACCAACGTATTTATCTTAAACATAAAAATTGAATAGAAGTGATAATAGTGGCATATATTTGCTGAAAACGATGCCTCTTAGTCAATCCATAGTATTAATTGATAATATTGATTGTCTAAGTGTGTTTTTACCTTTTTTATAGTACGGCTTCTGCAATTTATCAATTTTTGTAAAACCTTTGAAGCGGATATTATTTTGTCTTCTATTTATATAGAAATTTAATTTAAATCATTTATTATAATTGCGATTAACACACACACACACGCACACACACACACGTTTAGAATGTGGAAAATAAAGGCTAGCTCATCAGGCAGCGTCCGTTGGGGACACACGTGCGTGTGTGTGTGTGTGTGTGTGTGTGATATATAAATATCTTCCTCTATATCCATAGTTCATGGAGTTCTCGTATTTCAATGGCAGTTAAAATTATAATAAACGGTACTCGCATAGTAATTGCAATAATATTCATAATAAGCATTTTGCGTGCATGTCATACTTCAACCGTAATGGCTTCTTAGAAAAATGAAATTGTTTAAGTTTGGAAATTATAAATAAAGATTTGGACAATCCCATATAGTATAAGAAGTTGCGCTTCAAATGTTTTGCAAATTGTTTGATATATCGTTTAACGTGTCACTTATTCACAAAGTTAATGCATTCTCATGACAAGACTGGGTCAAAGAAGATAAAAGCTGACCTTTGTGGATGTTTTAGACGAAGGCGTCTGTCATTGTCATTGTCATTCAGAGAATGCTGCGAACTCACCTTGAGGCCCAAGGGTATCTAGACAGTGATGACCCTAGCCAATACGTTTGCGGTTACAGTCCTCGATTTCAAACTAATACAATTACCTGGAACTCAAATTTAACATATAACAGAAATCTTGTCAAATTTTTGATTGAGATCTGCCAGCGCAGAAAACATAGCTACACGAACTGTGCGATATACTTAAGTCTCATTTTAAATGTATTAGCCTAATTATCAGAGTTATTAATATTATTATTACTCTTGTTATTATGATATATCGTGCGTGTATGTACACTAATGATGTTCCCTATATACCACGGTGAAATAAACTATCGATATCACTATCCATTCTTATTGGATGCAATACGATATAACTCTATCTGTACTACCATATTCTATATGATGGACTTTAATTTTGTATGTCCGCTTTCTTACTGCTTTTAAAATCTGTTTATCACTGTATATATTTGCCCCCTTTATTTAACTTTAGGGTAGAAGACGAATTATTTTTTCGCCAAATAAAGTACATGGTTTGTTTAATGCCCTGCCTTGTTAATCGCCTCAAATTTTTAAGACACCCTTCGATATTCCTAGAAAACAATTAGAAAAAACTTTCCTTCTGCGACAGTATTGGCCTAACATGTGCTTTGGACTGTCATAAAACGCACAAACTTTGACAGTGAATGTTCATTATGTCTAAAAAATACAAAATAACCCACAGGTTTGGTCTCCAAAGAAGTGCGAAGATTCTAAAGGCATGGGCATTAGAGAAGATACTAGAATATTACAGCCTTCGAAACTACCTCTCGTAAAATTTTGCGCCGAAGTAACTCTTTTGGACCAAATTTGCCAGTGCTGTGGGATATTTCTAGACAGAATGAGTATTGTGGTGAAGTTATTGGAATTCGCTTTTAATTGATAAAAAATACTTATACATCTTAAAATTATTTCCTGCTCTTGGCTTCTGGCACGAGGCCAATTATCCTGACTTTGAAGGATTGTGGAAATCACAAAAAAGGAAGGGTCAAAAATATACATTTTTTACTTGCAACTTTTCCGCATATTTGCGGTCGTGTTGTTTGCGAGTTATGATAATTATGCAGTTTGTGACTGTATATAAAAAGCCAATATTTTGCCGGATAACCAGTTAGAAGACTTCTATACAGACGTCTACAGACTTCTTCAGACTCTCGCAAACAAACAATGAAGGCGTGCGTTCTTATCCTGCTTTTGGTTGTTGCTGCCGTTGTCATTGAAGGTAAGCAGGGTTACTCTCTCTGACCACGGGGTACGCTCGTAGTGTGTTAATTACAAAAAATGTTGAAAGCGACCCACAGTGTGATTTTGTGCAGTATTTTACTATCTTAGGGTACACAGCGGGATACAGTAGAGATTTTGGATAACAAACGGCTTACCGTAAGACATGTACATGGGTTACAGATCACACTTGCTTTTTGTATCCGTGCACATAGATTATCGTAATACATCTCCATTTGTCTTCAAATTGCAGAGACCAGTGCAGGGCCCGGAGTAGCTTCGGCAAGCCTGGCAGCTACATGCACCTGTTGCGGCAATACCTGTTCCGGGACAAGCTGTAGTTGTAATGGCTGTAATTGCGACGGTTCTGACAGTGTGGTAAGTGCTCTTGAATTGTACTATTTCTCCTATTTTTTTCGTTGTGACTATCTGTGGATGGGTGGGTTGCTTGTGGGGTGGGGGTGTCTGTGCTACAAAAGCATTCCCCTTAATTATCATTGTAACAATTGTAAAAACGGGTCAAATCTAGTCGTGTTCGAACCTCTAAATGCACCAAGGTTTGATGAAACTACCTCGTAGAATGTTACAGTGTATATTGTAAATATTTACATGAGATCAAAGATATGCTTTACGAATGCAAATCCCTTTATTTTCAATGTTTTACTTTCAATTTCCAGAGTTATCGGTAGAAATCTAGAGAGTGATGATACAAAGCGGCAATTTTCAGAAGAGCCCATTGTTCTTGGAAGCAATAAAGACTTTTCGCTGAATTATCTCTGCAAGTTTTTTAGCTATCTTCTTATTTACATGACATCTTTTTAAAAAACAAACCCAAAACGCCGAATTTGTTAACCAAAACGAGATAATTTGATTATTCATGTTTGCAAGTAAAATGGAGAAAGAATATAAGTACAATAAATTATAAAAATAATATCTTTGTTTCTTCTTCTGTTTATAAAAAGTGTGTATATAACTCTATAGTTATTCACAGTGTGTATTACTCTATGTGGGAGAGATTGTTTACCAACTCAAAGTACGTTCTACAATTAATTAACCATCCATACCAGTGTTAATGAGATGGTCTTACGGCCTTTTACAGATTTTTCCTACGATTTGCCTGAAATAACATTTAACAGGACTTTCTTATTGTGGAGGGCTAAAGACCTTCTCACAACGAACGTCCTATTTTAGCGATACAGCTGTACCGGTACATTTATAATACTTCACTATCTTATTACTCCACGACGGACGTAGCTTCCTTTTGCACATTCGCTTTAAGCTTGTTTCCCCGGGGGGGGGGGGGGGGGGAAAGGGGGGCTTTACATGAGGGGTGTTTTTTTAATGAATACCATCAAAGGTATCTTTAAACACTGGTGTCGTCATTCGAGATTAAAAAAAAAACTGAGAGAATCCGCGTGAGGCGGGGTTTACCTTTCAGAGCAACACGGGTGGAACTGTACGCGCCGCGATTGTTGTCTCAAACAGACAAAAAAAACGCAAAACATGGTGAATAGGCACTGGTTTGCAAAAGACAATAATTATGCAGTACTTAAAAAAAACATACCTTTTTACAGTATGTAAAAATAGTTTAAAAGCTGTGGCAGTGAAATTGGGCCTATTTTTCAGTTACTAGACACCGTTTCTGCATTGTCCATGATTCAGTTCATTCTTAGATTCATGGGGACACCAATTTTTATTCAGGCAAGGTCTGGGTAGGATTAACCACAGAAAGAATGAGATACTGAGCGAGGGTTGTTAGAGAATGGACAGTATTTTTTGGTGCAGCGCGCGGAATATTTTAAAAGTGACCTGATCCCCTAGTAAAGATAACATGCATATTTGAAAGTTTAAACTATATATTCTTGCTTGCACTGTCATTTGAAGTCGAAATACAAGAATAAATGGGAGAGGGTAGTTATTCATTACCCACAATAATATAGTGTCTTTATGTTGTCTAATGACAGAAAACCCCTCGACGATTTCAATCATCGAAGAGACGGGTCATAAATTATTAAAACCGGCAGAAGTGCTGATTCAGATTGAGATCACCAAGAGCGATAATAACCAGCATGTGAGTTACATGCCTTTCATGGTGGCCCTGATCCAGTCGATGTAATGTGTCACCTTGGTGGTGAGGGCGGGAAGGCCGGCCTGGTTACACTTGGCTGTTCCGGACGCCACCACTCCTGCCAGGTAAAACTGGTCGCCATCTTTTTGACATACCATTGGACCGCCGGAATCACCCTGGTTTGGAAGTTAAAGGTAATTCTTTTTATTTTCTGTCGTTGTTATGTGTTTTATGTGCGATTTCAAATCTCAAAAAAAACTTCAATAGGCCTAAATAACTGCAACGAGCAAATGACAAACCTGTAAGACGATTGTCTCGAATAAAAAAATGTTAAACCCGCTTGAGATTTCTTTTTCTTTCAAGTACTAAAATATTTCTTTTTCTTTCAAGTACTAAAAGTGTTGCCTCACTAATGCTTGCGAAACAAAACTTACTGTGCAAGGTTGACTTATGCCGTTCCCAAAACACAGAGTCCCGGGCCCAGTTTTTCCTGGCCACACCCAGTTACAATAGGTGGCGCTCCAAACCATGCCATTCACCTCCTGCAGGGTTGCGCTATCATCTGCTGTGCCTAGGAGTGGGGTGGAAAAGGGGGAGCGAGAATAGAAAAGAGACGAGCAATGTCATTCTTTTGAAAATTGTAAACTTTTGGTATACTGCTTGGTTGTTAGAGATTGCTTTTTTTTAATAACGGTTTAAGTAATCTTATAAATGATCATTAAATAAGACATTTTTAACAAACTACATGGCATGCTCATCGTAATGCAATCTATATCTATTTAGACAATTGTCATTAGAAGACAATAAGATACAGAAATGAAAATTAACTGCCAAAGTACTCCCAAAGAGTCTAAAAGCATGATAGACATACATGTTTTTTGCAAGAGACAACTCATTTATTCTCCACACGTGCGGGAACATGTTTCACGCCGCTAGAAAATCAGAAAATGATGGGCAGGCCTATATATATTAGAAGGTCATAACTGTCTACCTACCTTTTGTGTCTCCCCACCCAGTCACCCAGCAGTCGTGATTGCTTTCAAAGCTGTCCGTTGGCGCCGGGAGACACGCTGGAATGATGTGTGGACTGTAGGCGACTTTGCTGCCCAATTTGATCAACGCGATATCATGCTGCCCGCTGTTGTCGTTTTTGTAGTATGGGTACTGGAAGGAGAGCTATTGTGAAATGTTGGTTTAACGAGGGCTTAGGGGACACTCCCTTGTGCTTTCAAATGCAGACATGATTTTGATTTTAAAAACAACCCCTTTCCTTTCACATGCCATTGGTAAATAATATGTTAAATCCTGCATACCCGGTTTTCAAAGTACCGGTACTGAATGTTAATCTTTTTATTTTTATTTTTATTTTTTTTTTTTATTGGAGCCGTGACCTCTTTTTGTCTATCATGATTTTAAAATGACAATTATAAGATGTCTCATCTTGAAAAATGCTTTACACAAAAGTAGCTTTTGCCATTTTGAAAAAAAAACTCAAACCGGTATAATTTTTTCCACAAGTTTGTCTGCCTCTGTCTGGTCACTTTTTCCCTGCTGATGATCCCCAAGGCGCACTGAAAACGAGGCCGGTCGGTTAGATCTGCAGGGAGATGAGATGACTATGATTGAGAAATTTTGTTATATCAGTCATTATTATTAAGGGTTACACGTGTGTGTGTGTGTGGTACTTTGTTTGTTTTTTATTTTACTTTAAATTTTTTTCTAAACATAGTTCATACACTGTAGGAAGTCGCATGCTAACGATGATTCTGAGTTAATATACGTATCGCGTGTATGTCAACCGGATATTATGGGATCGGTTGTTTACGATGAAAGCCAATATCACCAAACACAGTCCATCATAATACCCCAGGTGAGGTTCCGCTCATTGAAAAAGATCTCATTTTAATTACACAGCTTCTGGTTATTCGGCGTCAAATTAAATTGATACTTTTTTTATAATTTTATGAGAATATTTGGGAATGGATTCTGAAATGGGTTCCAGAACCTACCTTTCAAAACAGTGTGCCGCAGTGATCACCCAGTTCTCTCCCACCAGCGTTCCTCCACAGTGGTGCTTCCGGTAGTAGCCATATCTGATGGACACCTGCCAAGGCCACGTCCCAATGGACGCTGTCTGACCATTAACTATCCGCCACTGACCAAGCCTCCGTTTTCCACATTCTAAACGGCAAATAAATAATGTAAACAAAGTCGGCTATGTAATATTTCAATCAGTTAAATCTTTAAAGAATAAATTAATAATTTATTGCCAATTAAGCTAATGTTGCAAAAGGTGAAATATTTTTCAGTGGAATACCACTCAGTACCGAAAAATAATTACTCATATATTCACTTATTTGTTAAGTTTAGATAATAACGTTGGTGGCTCTTTCTTCGACGTTCTGTTTGAATTTAAGCTCGCCTCAAAAACAGTGTTTCTGTACACATTCCCTTTTCTATTGATACTGCAAGTGAGTAGCCAGTGATTGTTAAATTGTGACTATGAAAAAAATCTGCCATAATTAATCATTATCGTTAATTATTTTGGAGAAAAAGATACAGAAATTAACTGTCGCTTACTGTATGTGGATGATGCGTTTATTGTCCGGTTCTTTGAAACAGCGAGAGTGAAAATTTTGGCCACTGGCTTGACACAGCAGACCTCAAGGCGGGATGGACAGAGCCACTGGCCAGTGCTGACCTTTTGGGCGAACATCTGACCTGGACATATCTGGTAGGCGGCCTGGCACGTGCCTCCAAGTTCATTGGTGCAGAGGCTGTTTGTGGCTAGAGCGTGACGTGTTTCAATCAGTAAACTGTCATTATTAGAGCATATTTCGCACAGTTCATAAAAAAAGCTTTTCGGGCAAAACTAATGCTCAAAACAGATAGCTGAAACATCTGAGGAAGAAATGCCGCATTTAACCTTAACGATAAATCAGAAGATAAGAAAAACGGAAGTACACAGTTGATTGCACACCGCCTTGTGATAATTTTGTCACCCCTCCCCTCCCACCCCAACCAATACACACACACACACACACACACACACACACACACACACGCACGCACGCCGTCAATTGCTGATATGATTACATACCCAACATCTCCAGCGCCGGAATAACATATAACCCACATCCCACTTGTCTCCATGCTTCCCCACCCCTCTCCACCCAATTAAATCACACACGTACCCCCTCATCCCAAACTTATTTAACTTCGTGCCTGTTTTAACTATTCCTGTTTAAACTATACGTGCAAGTTTAAAATTCAGTAATTTTTTTTCTTTTTATTTCCATTTATTGATATACAGGAGAAGTAGTAAACAATGAATCACGGGTCAGACCTATCCTCGGTCCCGTGACCTACTCGACGATACGAGAAAATGCGGTCTGGTACGAGCAATTTTGATACCGTACTGAGGATAAACAAAAACAATTCTTGCGTTATTTCCCCTTATTTTTTACAGACAGCAAACGTCATTTAATAACCTCTCAGGCCAGATCCTGCATCTTAATTGCGCCTTATCTTTGAATTTAAAAATAACAGGATATACATGTAGCTTGTTTTCGTTTTAAGAACATTTTAGCATTGACCTACTAAACGAGAAATGTCAGCGCAGGTGGTTTTTTTGTTGTTTGTAAGAGACAAATTGGCGCACGTGTGATGAAATAGACGGGGTAGGGTACCCACTACGAGAGAGAGGATTGGTCAGCTAGATCTCAGTGAGACCATACCGGTAGTCATGTTATCAGTGTGGGATTTGAAAACCACTTCCCTTACACTCTCTCCACACTCTTCCGCAGGGTATATGTCAGTTAAAATAATCAGTTATCATACTTACATGTATATTCCGTGTGGCGAAAATACTGGATTTAAAAACATTTAATTTGAAAAGTCGGGAACAATGCTCATACATGGATAAGCATGTATATATCAATGGAGAAATATATCCGGCACTTGTTTCTGGATACCAGGTCATTTCTCCTGACTTTAAAGGATTGTTGTTATTGAAAAGAGGAACGGTCAAAAATAAACATGTTTTTTGGTGTTTTGCATTACCTTGTGTAATTTTACCTCATACGTGATTTTTGTCGTGTTATTGATGTGTAAGTATCGTAATAAATCCGCTGAAGACAGTATATAAGCTTACGTTTCGACAGAAAGTCAGTCAGAGAGACATCTGTATATTAAACCTAAAATATTTGATAGCTGCTGCCATTGCTCTCACGGCAAAAATGAAGACGTGCGTTCTAATCGTTCTTTTGGTTGTTGCTGCCGTTGTCATTGAAGGTAAACAGGGTTGTATTTGAACGGCATTTAACGGCACATAAATTGTAAGTGCATCATAGCTGGAGGTAGAGAGTCTATGAGTAACAGAGTGCATGTCATAGAATATGTGTAACACGTGTTGTCTGCGTAGCACACACACAAACACACACACACACACTTCATTTAATTGATCTCAATTTTCTTCAAATTTTAGAGACCACCGCAGCCGCGGCCAGCATGGAAGCAACATGCACCTGTTGCGGCAACACCTGTTCTGGGTCAAAGTGCCGTTGTGATGACAACTGTAATTGCAGCGCCTCTGACAAAGAGAGAGCCGTAAGTGCTCTTGGATTGTATTTATTATTATTATTTTCTCTTTTCTACTATGTGTGTGTGCGTGTGTGAGAGAGAGAGGGTGTGGACGTACGCATGTATGTGTGCTCTAGAGACATTCCATTTAGGTTCTATCCTTGTTATAACTGCACGATGTCGGTCAAATCTTATCGTGTTCGAACCTCTTGATGCGCCTCAGTTTGATGGAATTGTTTCGTAAAATATCATGTTTTAAATAGTCATATGAGGTCAAAGATATGCTTGCAAATCTCTAACTCTTAATTTCCAGGAATTACGCCATGCAGAATGGAGCTAGAGGGATGAAAGAAAGGGACTGCCATTATAGTTCTCTGCGGAGCCATTAGCCTTGGACTCAATATAAAAAATCACTGAACCGTCTCTACCTGTAAACGTTATGCTACTGCGGTGAACTGAAATATTGCTTCTATACTATCAGTTTATTTACATGACATACGGTTAGAAAAATACATTAAACACCGAATATGTCAACATTAACTGACGTGTGAATTAATTTCATTTATTTTTATAGAAATAGAGAAAGATCTCAATAAAACAGTTTAATACAAATATTTACATGTGTCTGTTTTCTTTCTATTTACAACAATCTGTCCGATACTTTACTTACCAGTGTGTACAGCATGTATTACACTATATGAAGTATGCGAATTAACTTCACTAAATTAAAGCATGTTTTGGAACTGATTACACACTGCCATCAAATTCAACTAAAAAATATGGAAAATGAGAGGTATAGTGAGCTTTGCACCTTTCTTAAGTTCCTTTGTCTCAATGTAAGCCAGGTTCTCATTTGGAAAACCCATGTCGATCACATTTACACCAAAACTAACCAGGCGATATAATTTATCAGTATTTTAAAGAGAGTGAGGTTTTTGTCTTAGGAGTTCCTGAAAATCCACATGCCGCTTGTCCTTGAAAAATGCTGTGGAAGTGTATCACACTATATTGACAAAATGTCAAGCAGATAAATAAAAATCCGTTTAGAAAAGAGATTGTAAGATTCTATGCACAGAAACCTTTTATACAGAGACACTACAACAGGCAAAATTAAATCCAGTGCCTTTACAGAGCGAAAATCTATATTCAATATTTTTTTTAAAAAATTCGAAACGAAGTAGGCCTATGCAAAAGCTGAATCACTACTTGTTATAACCAGAACAATGTGTTGCTAAAAGTGAGTGCATGTACCGGGCATACTCTTGGGCACATTCAGAAATTCTATATTCCGAAAGTAAAATAAGATTGAAAATAATTTTGTCCATTTGGCACTTGCAAACTTAAATGCATAAGCCAAGTTGCCTTGAACTATTTTAAAGATTTTAAATGATTTAGTATTTCAATCACAGAATCTGTCTTTCATATTTGCAGTAGAAGATTATTTATTGTTTACTTTTATCACAATGTTAGAGAACATGTACGGGTATTTCATAAATGAAAATTATCTAACACAAGCACAAAATATTTCATACCGTTAGCTTACTGTCAACTTGGACGTACACTGTAGGCCTTCATCAGATTGATGTTAGTAGATGTTGTTTCTCACTTACCGCTAGGTGGTATAGCGGCCAGGACCCTCCCATAAATGTCCGGTAGATCGACCCCCGCTCCACCACTACCCCCCCCCCCCCCCCCCCCTATTCATGATTGGTCGTAAGCTAACACTATGTTTTTCTGCTGCTCGTGTTTTATAATTTTCATTTATGATCCAACTACCAAGCTAATGAACATTTTTGCTCATTTACGCATATAGTCCATCTTTCGGCTTGAAAAATCATGAAAATGTTTCATTAAATTGTCTTACATCAGACTACTGACTAAAAACATGCTTGATACAGGGGTACATGGAAACAGTTATCGAAAAAAATACCCTTCTTAATTTTCTCAGTAAAAACAGAGACAGGCGAGGGAAAAATCAAATAACGTAGAACTAAGCCAAGTTTCTTCTAAACTGATTGCACAATGGGAGTGCGTTGAAAACATACCGCGCGATGATTTAAAGAATAAGAAAATGTCTTCATCATTTTGTTTTAGGAAAGCACGAACAACGACCATACGAAGAGTTGTCGACGTGCTGGACAATATTACATTTGTCAGAGACAATTAATCACTGTAAATCTGATGTAAAGGATAGGGTAAAGAAATGGAGGATTGGTAAAAATCTTTGTTTGACCACAATAACGCCATCATTGTGAAATCTGATAACCAAGATCTTCATGTGTCTTACCACTCACCTCTTTTATACATAAAATAAGATAATTAGTATTCATATCCATATTCCAAAAGGCGAAAGTTCTTTGCAATTTTTAAAAACAACACTGTTATAATATCGGCACGAAATATATCATTCGAAACATCTTCCGGCACTTGTTTCAGGACATGAGGCCACCCCTTATATTTTGAAGAATAGTAGAAAGAGATAAGGTCTGATATAAACATAATTAGTGCTTGGCACGGCTTTATGCAACATTTACGCATACTTGTTTTATGGACGACTGACAAGTGTATATAAGCTCACTTTTCGTCGGAGAGTCAGTCAGTAAGACATCTACAGGCCGATATATTTGATAGTTGCTGCTCATTCTCTAACGGCTAAAATGAAGACGTGTGTTCTCATCGTGCTTTTGGTTGTTGCGGCTGTTGTCATTGAAGGTACACGAATATGAATTGTATTAACAATAATTGTAAATGCATCGCGGCAAGAGGCTACATGGTTATTATAAGAGAGGGTTTATAATGAAATATTTGTTGTAGATAACACTGGTTGTCTGTATCCGTCCACACACACACACACACACACACACGCAAACACACACACACACACACACGCAAACACACACACACGCACACACGCACGCACACACACGAACACACGCACACGCACACACACACACACACACACGCACACACTGTGGATTGCATGATCCCAATTTTCTTCAAATTTTAGAGACCACCGCCAGACTCGACGCCACGTGCACCTGTTGCGGCAAAACCTGTTCCGGGTCAAGCTGTAGTTGTGATGACAACTGCAATTGCAGCGCTTCTGATGTCAAAGTAAAAACCGTAAGTGTTCTTGAATTGTAGTTATTATTCTTTTTTCTCTCTTTTCGTGTGTCAATATCTGTGTATTGGGACGGGTACTCTCTGAACACATGGAGGGCTAGTAGCCTGTTACCAAATTATTGTATTGCTTAATTTAATTTTGTATAACATTTAAAAGCCTCTGATTTCAGAGGGTAGGGATTGGGGGGGGGCGTTTGTCCTACATATACCTTCCACTTTTCCTTGTAATACAATGTAAGTACGGTTCAAATCTCGCCATGTTCGAATCTCTGAATGCACCTAAGCTTGATGAAACCATTTCGTACAATACTAAGTTTTAAATAACCATGCAAATCACCTGTGTCTCTGATTATTAATTTTCAGGCATCAAGCTCTGCAGGAGTACAGTAAAGACATGATACAAAACTATTGCTGTTGCGGTTGCCCGTAGAGCCATTCTTTATTGGAGAAATATGAAAAATCACTGGACCATCTCTCCTGCAAATTTCCAACAGCGAACTGAAATATTGTTTCTATACTTTCAACTGTAATACATGATATATGATTAGAAAAAATACGGTAACTTGAGTACTGAATATTTCAACAGAAATAGACTTTTGGGCAATACGCATTCATTTTCGAGAAATAAAGAGAGATCCCAATAAAAAAAGCATTTTTTTCTATCTTTTTTCTTTCTGTTTCAAAAAGCTGCCCCTCGCTATTATATTAGTTAACAGCGTGTATTACTTTATGGGGAAGCACGCGTATTAGCTTTACCAAAATCACGAATTGATAAAATGCAAATGTCAATCCGAGGGTTTGATTCGAGGGCTCGTACGCATTTCACAGCTCTTGCCTAGTACGCGATGTGATCGGGACGATTCTCAGCGGGGTTGAAAAGCATTGCATCACCATTCAAAATTTGTTCAGGGTATGATAATGTGTAATGCGTACTGACTCACACCTTGAAAACGGGTAGTGTGGTCTGATCTACAGGTGAATTCAGGATCATTCGGTGCCGAGTCTGGTAGTTGGGTAGGCCTGCAGTTGATCAGTGGACTCATTAGATCAAAGCAGACCCACTTGAAAGCGAGGCGTGATTTAATTGCTCTGCCCCTGCTGGGAGGGGGGGACCCATTATCAAGTGCTCGCCATATTTCATCTGCGTTAGTAAGGGTCTATTCCCATAGATTTTAGATCGATCTATCCCCGCGGGGAGTCTCGCTAGATTACTTTCAGATAATCCGACTCAAATGTCCGTCCCGCCTACTACAAGCTGTAAGGGGATAATTAACTTTCGTGTCCGCCCGGCTGACAGCTATTTAGCGTGAACCCCCAGGGAGTTAGGTCGATCTAAAGTAGGTCGATCTAATCTATGGAAATGGGGTGTAAGACGCTCAGCTGGTTGTGTACGCGACCTTAGCTACTTATGTCAGTATTCGACAAAAGACATTTAGCACAGCTTTCCTATTGTGATAATCTAAGAGGGCATTCACAACAGATGGTCCTTGGATCTACTATACGCGGATCAAGTATGGCGGACCCTATATGAAAGAAGAGCCGAGCCAATGTGAAAAGGCCTTTACTCTCCTCCAGTTATAATCTCAAAAATAAAAACGTTTTCAGGGGAACAGCGTACTGTCGTGAAACGTTTTTCGCACGACATTTAACTTATTTTACACTAAATTTTGGTCTCTCGTCAAACATCAAAACCACAAAATTAGTCTTTCAATGGGAGCCGAGATATATAGGGGTTAAATCAGACCTGGGATATGGGGCATAATAAAAGCACATGTAGCCTACATGTCACCTAAACCATAGGCCCCACGTCTTATGCCAATTAACAGCGACAATGTACTTTGTCTCAACGGTGACGGCGGTAATTTAAAGAAAAACGTATTACAAATATCACTAGCTGTTTCCAACTGAACCAGTACGAAAAAGCTACTAAGTAAGTTAGTAGATCAAAATTAGATAAAAGTCACACCAATATGAAAAAAAATCCTCACCTCGAACTTCTGCGTCTGTTCGGCACAGGTTTGAAATACATACAACGCAGACAAAGAACACAAAATGCTGTTCCATTACGCCTCTTCTATTCAGATGTGGCGTAGACGTAAACAGCGGCAAGTCAGCGTACGGTAACCTAGTCCTCAATTCGGAATTATCTTAATCTCCTAAACGTGTAACAGCAAAGGAATTATGATTATGGGAATATGAATTCTAACTGGACACTTGAATCCCAACATTACCATATATCTACTTATTGGCATGATAGTATAGGTTTGGTGAGTTTTGTAACAGGAATGACCATTGGTAGTTTTCCAGGTCAATCCTCGAGTTTGCATGTTCACAAATCAAATATTACGGTCACACTTGTTATATTGCAAGAGGCATCAAAACGATCGTGCGACTTTATAAGGAGGCGCAATACCAAAAAGANGTTTGGCTCCCCTACTAATAATGCATGCATTTAAAAGATTTTCATAAATGACAAGTTCAAAAAACATCAATGGGAATGAAAAACATTAATATACATTCTTGCTGTTATATGTTAATCTGATAACCAAAAAGTACTTACAGAGTTCCGCCTACAAAGCAACTTCGAGAAAAAAGTTACTAAACAAGTAAACCCTTGACTACATAAAAAAGCCACTGACAAAAGAACTTCTTTCCATAGAAAAAACATAGCTAATGAAACCTTACAATGTGTACAAGAATACGGTTGGTGTTAAGTAGAGAGTAATAGTCTCATTCAACGCAATGACCACCTTGTCGCAACTGCTGCAATGAATAAGTGTTACCTCCATTACAATGGAAGTTGGCAATATTTTTCCGTCGCTACCGTTAATGAAAATAAAACATATTGTAGAATCGATCAATATAGTCCAATAAAAGGTAATCATATAAATTCTTTCCTCTCTCTCTCTCTCTCTCTCTCTCTCTCTCTCTCTCTCTCTCTATATATATATATATATATATATATATATATATATATATGTGTGTGTGTGTGTGTGTGTGTGTGTGTGTGTGTGTGTACCTCTTCCTGTAGAAACGTCATTTGAGTAACCTTATGTATGCAGAAGGCCCGTTTTAACGTTGAGACTTTGTGATTGTCTCTCGATCCGTCGCAACGCTCAAAACCTGTTTTAGAGCAAATATCACCAAATGTTATTTATTCAACATGTTGTATCGACCGAAGTAAAATAGACACAGGTATAACATAATTTAATAGTATAAATGCTGTTGAAATCTTTTAATTAGTGTTTAATGGTTATATTTTATAGCTAAGCGAGAGAAAATTCAACTAGATGCAGTACAACAGAATTATTAAGTGTCCTACTCAATTGCGCATTTCATTTTTATAACACATCAACAATTTTAAAACTCGATTTCGCACCCGGCTTTTTGCTTTACATACAAAAAAAGTTTGACGTATTTTTTTCTCAAAACCATACATTGTAATGATCCCTTCACCTGTTAACAACACGCGTTGTGTTTTTTGAGCAGGCTCAAAATACCTGAATGCTTCTGCGTTCCCTTTATATATTGATCGGGTCAGACTTTTGTTGTCATAAACGTGGGTTCATTGTTGAATGAGTCGGTGGTCAAAACGAGGCTGACTACTCTTCTTGGAATATACAGAGGGATTCGAAATGCTTTTTGTTTCTCTAATCATATTCATTTCATTGGACTTTTATTCTTCTTCATATTAACTCTACCTTGTTCGATTTCTTTATTCAGCAACTTTTGAGTAAAAGAACATCGCTGTCCTTTTTGTGTTTTGAAAGAAGTGCGATCACGTTTCACAGATCGTTAACCATCAAGGTAAAATGAGAGGTAATAATGATTTTTAGTCACCCGGTACTTTCAATGTCAAAGGCGACATACGGCAGGGCTGTGGCATAAACCGGGTTGTTGCTAGATTGAATTGAGATATAGTGTGTTAATATAATCTTATGCTCACTTACGCCATGAGGAACCTGCAATATACTATCGTGAGTTTTCTTCTTTTTTACTGGAGACGGAGTTTAACATATGCACAAACAACAAATATTCTTTACCCGCATGGCATAAATAACGGAGACGTCACCGCCCCGTTGAGTGACGACGGCAGCACGTCCGCCATACCGCTCTCTACAGGTTTTCCATACTTTGACCAACTTCACACCAGGGTTTATGTAAGTTTTACATTTTATCGTTTCTGTCCTAAGAGAAATTTAGGTACACAGTGATTTTTTTTACTTCTTTTTGGTACTTTTGTTTCATGATATATACGTGTAATTAGCTACAGACTGAGCGTGTGTGTGCGTGTGTATTGTAGCTGTTTACTCTTACATGTAGTAAGTAAATGGGAGTATGAAATAGGTTAGGGTATTTATTTTCCACCTAGCGCTGGCCTGATTTCTTTAATAAGATTTCTGATTTCTTTAATAAGACACAGCACCCAAGATAAGAAAAAAATGAAATACATAACAAAAGTGCAGATATTGAAAGCAACTAAATGACACAAAATGTTGAAGCAGGGTGCATTTTTCACTGTTTTTAGAAGGGGGCAGAGCGGTAAGAGGTATATTTTATATTGGAGAAGTTTCTTCGTTGCACAATATATATTGTCAGGTATTTATAAACACAGGTGAAATTTTCTTCTTAAGGACTGAAAATAAAATATATCTATTCGCAGTTCAAGTGTGAAATCACGAGTATGTCGCCTCTTTATCAATTTAATGAATAAATTGATTAATTTATTATGTTATTTATTGTCATTTGCGCGGTGCAGGTTTTGATTCTTCTCGACTAAGATCTAATAAAAGGATATTAGATCTTAGTTCTCGATAAGCGGTAAAAGAGGTTGATTATGCTTCAGATATTTATCATTTTCTACACTGCCATATTTCCACTTAATAAATAAGGCTGGTATCTTATGAAATTTTGTTGTACTTATTGACATGATGCGCTGGCTAGTTCAAACTTTTTAAATCAATATCCCAGATTTTGGACAGGTGCAATGTGTGGTTTTAAAATAAATTAAAATTAATTTATTCATATATTCGTCTATGTTTGTGTATTTGTTTTAATATGTCTGTTTATTTATTCATTTACTAATTCATTTATAACCATCAGGTCAATACCAATGGGGCCCTTTCATTCTTGCGCCCCGTCTCTACGTATACACCGCAAGCCTTCCCGCTGGGTTCCAACCGGAGGCTCATCGCCCCATTCTGGGCAGACGTGGACACGTTAAGAAACCACGGAAGAGTCTTCTACCGGCAGACGACAGATTTATCCATACTGAACAGAGCTACGAGTGACATTAGAGCGGCGTTCGTGTCACAGTCCAAGTTCACGGCCGCCTGGGCCTTCGTCTGCACCTATGATGACGTCACCTACTATGGCGGGAACTCCTGGACTAATGTCAGTGTATACCATTATTTCATTTTATTGGTTTATTACTGAGATGAAAATTATAGGATAGATAGAAAGATAGATACTGTTTAGGAACAGATTTTTGTTTGTACCTTAGTCTATGCGGTTCGTGTGATTTCGACAAGCAAAAAATATTTAGAGATAATATACATGTAGGTTTTTATTTGAAATATGCTTGGAAAGTGGCCTTCATAATAATAATTATACTCGACGCATAGAATCCACATTTGAAAAACAAAAATTCAAGAGTCAAGAACACATTTGGCACCATGTCTCATTCATCAATTCTGAGAGTGATTTTCACCATTGGCGGATACAGTGTACATGTACAAGAGGATGCGGTGCATGTACTACCCGCAAGAAAACGCAGTAGATACTCCAGCGCAGTAGACTACAGTAATCATACTGCAAACCGCAGTAGACTACTGCAATCATACTGCAAACATGCTTCATATCTGCTTCGATTTGGGAGCTAATTAGCATATTTGAAACATGCTTCTATCATGCTGCTAATCTACTGCATTAATGATCCTCTCTGTACAAACCTATGTACTTTTTGGAGTAGAATTGCAGTAGGCTATGCTGCATTTCTACTGCAAATATGCTCCACGCCACTACTGCGTTAATGCTTTTTTGCTACTCCGATACTACTGCATTTTCGTGCGGGTAAGCCCCTTTTCTATCATTCAAATAGTATTATAGATTTAACACAATTCTTCGAAAATGGGAGAAATGACTGACCCGTGGCCTACAAAATATTTTCACAATACCTCAATTTGAAACATATCTCTCCCGATATTCTACACAGCGAGTAATTAAGGTGGGCACGGAGATCCGGCTCCCGGACAGAAAAAAAACGTTAAGACATAACGTGTTTTTCATTTGAAATATAAAGCGTAATTGGAAGATGGCCCAAATTATATTTGACCTTCCCATGTAATCCACATAACCGAAATATGGTAGTGCTAGCTAGAGTTTTGAAACCGCATCTGCACGTATTCAAACATGTTTTCAGACAAACACGTTCCAAGTGGTTTTGGTCACCAATGGCCGCCAATCGTTTGCCATATTCAACTACAAAGAAGTGACGTGGACCACAGGGGCAGGCAGTGGTGGCAGAGGTGGGCTGGGAGGAACACCAGCACAGGTTGGTGGAGCATTGTTTAATATTGGTTAATGTTATGAAATGAGCAATATATACATGTACCAATGCTAATTACAATGGTAATAATGTTGTTTAAATCAGTCATGATATATATTATTATAGAACAACATTATTACCATTGTAATTGGCATTGGTATATATTGCTCATTATATATATATATATATATATATATATATATATATATATACGATTTATTGGAAATTAATGTTCTGTTCCACGCGTAGAAAAAGAAAATTTTACACATTATTTTCTAATAAAAAATTAAACATTACACTAAATAAATTCCATAGGCAATTTCATTCAGTTCAAACCTCCGAGCTCGCCTCCAAGAATCCAGGGTATCTTCAACCTCGTGAACAGTTTACAGCAATAGGTCATTTTAACATAACAAGTCACTAATATTAATATGGTGATAGTTAAGTTCAGTTCTTTTTTCTTCCTAATGTATTTTTAGTGTTTTCTTGTCCTTTTAATCAAAGTTGACAACTGTTGGTCAGTCGAAGAGATCTTTTGATGTTTTACGAATCTCAGCTTTTAAGCACAGGTTGGTGGAGCATTGTTTAATATTATTAAAATACCAATCTTCTTCAATCAAGTCGTCAATGTCTTTGTTGTGCTTCCAACCAATTCCAATTCTCCTTTCCAGCCACATCCTCTGTGCGTTGTGAGAACTGTATGTCTCGATAATTTAACTTGTCCTTTCGCTTGACCTTTTGTCTTTCTTCTCAGTGAGACAAGATGGTATTCCATTTTCCATCAAGTCACCCACAGCACACGAACGAAACGTAGTGCCTCGATATGAAACCAGACAACTTTTGTGTTTTTAATCTCCAAATACGAAAAAAAATCAATTAAGCTAATTAATAGGCTAACGTTAAGAACGTATTATATCGTTTGTTTTATATTAATTATTATTTAAGATCATAATAATAAACAAGTCGCATTTCGATGTACTCCATGCTATAAACTTTATATAAAAATAGCAATTTTTTTGAGATTACAAATTGTATCGCATTGTTTGGTTCCATTGGCTCGCTTTCAAAAATTAGAACAGGCGCTCCAAAATCGTAAAACGAAGTTAAAATTTTATATTGGCCGAGTTCCCCCACTGTTAAGAATATCCTCGCAGCATTATCTGCAGTTAACCTTCCTACGATTTTCAATGTATTTTGCAATGTAATTTACAATCCTCCAGGTGAAGAATTTTATTAATCAAGAGTAGGGGAGGTGTGAAAATCCCCATTGGGGCCACATATAACACTATAAATACAATGGGAATCCCCTTAAAATGAAGGTAAAATAAAGGTTTTTCTAAGGAATTCCGACGGATTTACTTTTTACAACATAAAATCAATAGAACATTTCTAATATAAATTTGCAAAAAGACACCAGAGAGCTAATGAAATAAAATCAACCAGACGGTCTTTGTCAATTTCACCAACTTGTTTATTTCAAACAGCGCACTTTTCGCACATGCGCAGTTGTTTGAAGCCTGTGCTGTCACCCACAACAACCTTCCCAACGATGCTTTCAAATAGTTGTCCAAATCAAGGACACGAAGGTGCACAATGTCTTTAATGCCGGGTAATCCTCTTCCGCCCTTTGTATGATCATCAATTTACTTATTTTTTCTATTTTACAAGTACTATATTATTAATATTATTATTGTTGTTGTCGTTGTTGTTGTTGATGATGATGATGTTGTTGGTGTTGTTGAATGGATTCTTCAATTCAGTATATTTTAGAAGAGACCATTGCGATATTAGATAGTAGTTCTGACGCTGGTTATACATGTAAGACTTGTGTTTTGTACCTCGTTTTGAGGTTCTTCAAATCGAGGCTTGATACAAGATATTTTTCCTTCAGGTCGGTTTTAATGCAGGCGACGGTTTTAGGTATTTCTCAGTGCCCGGATCAAGAACGTCCGCTATCGTCGACATAGAGTCCACCACCAACGTCAACGTTCCCGGACGGTGGATATTCCGAGTAGACGACATCGGTGTTGAAGCCGGTGGCTGCAATGTGGGGGGTAGGTCAACGGCTGACAGTTTATCGTTTTTTTTTTAAATTGATTTCCATGTTGAAGCTTTTGAAACTGATAAACTTGGCTCAATTTAAGTAATTTATTTCATTTTTAGTCATAATAGTCGGTTAAATGTTTGCATCTTTCGCCTTTTGGATTATTTTCTCCACATCTTGTTAGGATTTGTAATAAAATATTTGAGGTATTTACAAGAAAATCTTGTTCTTACAGTCAGACTCTTCTTAGCATAAGACTCAAGAATTACTTGATTTTCTATATTACTAATAAATTAAGCGGCTGTTATTATTTTGTAATTACACTGAGCTCATACATTTTCAGTTAAACTACGAATCTCCCCTGTCAAAGGAAACGCGTTAGGAGGTACCGAGATTCTAATCTCTGGTCCATGCTTTTTTAACTCCACGGGTCAGTTTCTGTGCAAGTTTGATGACATTGTTGTCCCAGGTCACTTTGTCAACACGCTGAGGGTCGCCTGCTACTCGCCGCCATTGTTTAAGGCGGGCAACGCGGAGGTGTCATTGCACGTTTCCCAAAACGGTGGGCAGAATTTTAGTGAAGGAAGCGCGTTTGTTCCAGGTAAGGTCAGTTTTACTTTCTCGTTATGAAAATGAGAATATTTTTTCGGATATTTAACACGTGGGCAGTTTGATTATACATTGTTTTATAAAATCTGCAAAATAAATTTGAAGAAAGCAACTTGATGCAATAACCATTTCTTGCCTGTACATGTCAACGGTTCTGACGTTAAGTATAAAAACAGTATAAAATATAACAATAGGTACACTATATACATTTTGTTGGGAACCCACAAAAGTATTTATTTGCAAACTCTAGTTCTTTAAGGTAATCTGTGTCTATTGTGTAGAATTCGTATGTTAAAGTCTCTGTTTCAATGTGCAAAAGACGTCATCGCTACTTGAAAGTACAATTTATATTCATAAATAAATAAAATGGTTATATTAAAAGAAAGTGTAATAAATAAAGGCACGCCGCAAAATTGAAAATTTTTGATCAAACATGCACATGCTATAGGGATTTAAAGAAATGGATCTATGTTAAGAGTGGTGTTTATACTATTTTTCGAGACATGGATGCCATAAATGATCCTAAAATTGTGCGAGTTGACGAAGAAAAGTGGGACAAGGGACCCTATGTTATCCAGTGGGACCCGGCAGAACTTGTAGCATCGACCTTGGACCTGGACCTGCTTACTTTCAGGTTTTATTTATTTATTTATTTATTTATTTATAATCTTATTTATTTATAATCTTATTTATAATTTAATTCAAAGTAATTTACACATTTGATTATGTTGGGGAAATGAGTTTTATATACATAAACGAGGAATTGAAGATCGCAAAAACTCTTTTATTGTGAAGGTGGAACTTCGCTGCTACGAAATGTTCTATTATTCCTCTTAATGGCCTTTCCATTGAATGCACAAGGGCAATTTCTTTTTTTCCATTCACACTTTTTAAAAGGGATAATTTAAACTATGTACATAATAGTGTATTTTTTAAAGCTTATAATATATATTTTAATCCCTCTTCAACACGTTGTTTACTCTATTTAAGGCATTCAAGCTGGAAAATGTATCTTGATTTTGGTAGATGAAATTGTTTGACTAAATGTAATATTTCAGTGATGAAAATCTGGAACTCGATGAAAAGTGGATCAATATTGCCACCAATATATCGAACAATGGTACTGTAGACTTAGACGACCTCCTCAACAGGAAAGGAAACTTTGGTGACGTAGCGGCATTCGGAGCTATTCGGTTAACTCCGGCAGGTTCCGCTTCAGGCTCAAACTACACGTGGGTTGCATGTTTTATCAATTTCCGTTCAACATGTACCATAATACAAAATATGCAACGCGTGCTTGACTATTCGCTCTCTCTCATCCCTAGCTCTAAAAAGTGTTATAATTCAAAAATTGTTTTAACTTCTACTAATTTTATAATTATTTTCCACTAAATCTACGGAATGTATTCTTTGTTTGAGTTATAAAGATAATACCTGACCTTAACATTTTTCTCTATGTACATAACAGGGCAGCTGCCATATGGTCTGATATCCATGTACTACAGTGGTACATAAATGCCTACATAGCAACCAAAATAAAGCAAGGCCCACAGAACCAGCGTAAAAGAAGTATCTTCGACGGTCTAGCAGCAGCCGTGGACTCCGCGAAAGACATGATAACCCAAGGGGCACAAAAAGCATGGGCAGACGTTAAAAACGAAGTAGCGGAGAGGTTTAGGGATGTGAATGAAAAGATGTGTCAGTCTTGGTTCGACAGGGATTCCGAGGAGCCGTTGCCTACAGATCTTCCGCCGTGCCCCGGTAGCTTTCGCCAGGCCAGCAGAGATCGCGGTACCTTCTCAGAGGACCCCGCCTGTAGGAGGGGAGATCCAGATAGCTGTAGCTATCATCCTGGGGCGTCAACTTGTTTTCGTTCAAACGTTTGTAGGTATGGATGGTTTTGTGTTTATGGCGGTTTCTATCCTGCAGGACTCTGTTAAGAGAGGTGTTCTCCACAGTGTTCCCTACCATGCAATTGATCCCAAATAATAAGCAAACGAAGTGTGTGAAAGGCAGCGTTTCACCAATGTAAATTCTGTGCCCTGTACACCCGTCATTGTTTACTTAATATTAACACAGGCGGTGTTTTAAATATCTGTTTCCGATTAAAGAAAGGGTTATCTGGATAAAATGTAAATTTAGGCCTAATAGTATTTTTTTTTCTTAAATTTTCGACTCAAATTGTCTTTTACCAGTGTGTTTTTTAATTAACGCCGTAGTCGCTCTGGCGGCGGTCAGCAATGCTGCTACAGTAGTGGAGGATCTTTGCTCAACGTCGCCGATGGCCAACTGGGCGGTGGAACACTGGACAGAGCCCACTACAAGGGCTGTTTCAACGGTGGGACGCTAGTCCTACCATACGTCGGCCATTTTTACCATGACGTCCTACCGTATTATTACTGTTGCAAGAACTCAGGAGATAAACAACTGTGTCAGGACACATACATGAAGAGACGACCCTCTGATGATGGAAGTGGCTATCGCCCACCAAGACCAGGTGCGTGTTAGATATATAGGTGTAATTGTTGTAACTATATACTTCTTAGAATTTTATTTTCATCAGTGAATTATATTCTCATGCCAATCATCTGTTTGTTTAAAAAAAGTCATTTTACCTGTCTTACTATTTATGTTTAATGCTCAAAATAGCAAACCAGTACAAGATTTATGATGCTTTGGGAAATTTTTTGTGACGTTTCTCCACTAAAGAGGAAAATTACTTAATCAAAATTTAAAATTATTTTTTCTCTTTACTTCATATTGACTTCTTCCCATGTACTGCATGTACCCTGTATGTACATGTATTAATTTTGTATACATCAACACCCACTCTCGCACACATACTTTAATTAATCAACTGATAAATTAATTCAGAAAGTCTCATATTTGTTCAGTGTTTCGTTTGTTATTGATTTTTATTTGAACATTTAGTCTTAATCAAGGCATTAAGGTATGGCATAAAATTATGCTTATACAGCTGAAGGTTCTGAGGTACAAATGTAGGGCCAACTGTACAACCTAAGATCTGAGTGTAAAGCCTTATTTCCAGCTGTCGGTAACGGCGACCCCCACTTTATCACGTTGGACGGTTTGCGATACACGTTTAATGGAGCTGGTTAATACACCCTTGTGAAGACGAACGGTGCTTTCTATACCATGCAGGGCAGAGCGGAGGCAGTACAGAATGCTGGCGGTAGGGGAATAACCGAATGGAATATTAGTTGTCATTGTCAAAATTTAGGACGAAATAATTGACAGTTAAATTAACATTTATAACACAGCCAAACTCTATCATAGTGAAATCCTCAGAATAGATTATTAAATAGTTTCTTAGAAGAAGGATAACGTCCACCCACAGTTTTATTATCAGTATTGCGTAATTCTGAATTATCCATAGGAGGAAGTCCCACCGCCACTGGGTGGACTGCTTTTGCGTTCAAAGGATCAAACAGCAGCACGGTGGAAGTCAGGACTAGCTTGCTGAGAGTAATCGACGTGTTAGTTGGTGGAGTCAGAATTGACTTTGATGAACTAGGAGATAGGGTGACAAATTACGAAGGTAAAGATGAATCAACTATAAGTGTCATTCAATGAAAGCTAGGCGCTTTTAGTACCATTTCTCTATCCATCGCTCTCTATGTATGTCTCTCTGTTATTTTATAATAACATTCATTTCGGCTCCAGTATTTCCAGTATTCCCATGTACATTCCGTGCAATACCAAAGGCTATAAATATCAGTGCATGTAATACTGCAGGTATGTTGTACCGGTACGTACATGTACATTTGTACTTGTTGGAAAAAAATATATATATATGTATATATTCATGTTACTGTCCGTCGCTTGTATCAGATTTATGGGGGAGGACGTCAAAATGAAAAGATGGAGTTTTAATATCGAAAATTAGTTATCAATTATTATATTTAATTCCAGGTCTTCTTATTGAACGTAACATGAACACGTCCGTCACGGAAGTGGACCTTATCGATGATGGTGTCTCACTCACTGTGACGCACGTAGCAGGGATTTTTAATTTCATGCTACTCCTACCCGAGACTTTGAAGAGTATGTTTGGTTTAAATCATTAGATAAGTTCGTGCTTTTTTGCAAAGTTTCAAAATTAGTTCGTGATACACGGATGACTGAATAGCTCATTGCTGGAGTAGACAATTATTATATGTTCCAATCCAATATATGCAATTAAAATGATACTGTCCTGTACCTACAGAGGTTTTCATCATAAGTTTACCTGTTTTAAAATAAAATTGAATAATTGCTTTCAATTACAGATAAGACAGAGGGGCTACTGGGTTCCTGGAATGATGATATAAAGGATGATCTGGTGGCGTCCTCCGGCGTCATGTTACAACACAACTCGAGTACCAGAAATATTCACTACAACTTTGGAGAAACATGTAAGACGCGCATTGAATGTAATAGTTTAAAAGCAAACGAAAAAGTGGGGCATTTACAGTGCTGGAAACTTGCAATCCTTTGTAATTTCGACATGTTAATTTTTTTTATGGAGCAACATGAAATCATTAATGGAATCACACACAGAAGCATTGAGCTCCTATGCTTGCCAAACCTGCCATGTCCATATTTTCATATAATCGAACTCACTTTCAAACTACCATTTTGGTTTTCATGTCTTGTTTGGGATGATTTTCATGAAACCTTTGTTACAATACATGCATTACTTTTAGGGAGAACCACTTCTGCGATGTCCTTGTTTACATACGAGGTTGGCACAAATCATTCCACGTACCAGAATACCGGTTTTGTACCCCTATTCGAGGTACCCCTCTCATCAGCAAACACCACCGAACTCTATCTTATCTGTGGAGACAACGACCAATGTATTTTTGATTACATCTCAACCGGAAACACCGACATTGCCCAAGCGACCAAGAGTACTGTTGAGGACTATTTTACAGCTGTCACTGACACCGAACCAGGTAGGCATCGATCATTTAACGCTTCTGGTTAACAGACCCCGTGTCTGAATATCTCTAAGTACTTCACATATGGGTTTGGTAATTTTTAAGTGAGATCTTTACAGCTTACTCCACAAAAACTAATGCTCGTGATTTGATAAGAAAAATTACTCACTCTGTGTACTTGACATTTTTTCACTTACAAAAATCATACAAAAATTGCTGCTATGACCTTAAAAATAAAATCAAATAATGAAAACATGTACAGTTATGACAATTTATAAATAAACAATAAATAAAAATATATTTGGCATCGGTTTTTGCCAATGGTCAAGGAAGATATTGTTTTACAACACACATTTCAAATATATTCGATAAGCGATTGCCTAGCTATCGTGTAAAGTTAAATTTTCTGGGTACCCTAGCAGCAATGTACATAAATGCGGTATGGGCGACACTTTTTTTGGTAGGGGTATAGGTTTTCACGTTCCTCACATACTGTTTGTTCATGTATGATCATTAAATCATCCACCAGTTGTGTTATGTCCACGACTTGAGACACCATCCAATGGCCAGAAGAATGTAACCAGTGGTTACCAGGTTGGAGCCGAAGTGACCTTTGCCTGCGACAACGGCTACATTCTACAAGGATCAGCCAATAGAACTTGTCTTTCTAGCGGGCAGTGGAGCGGCGAGAACAGCACATGTCAATATGTTGGTAAGACAATATGTACACAATATCCTTGGAGCTCTAGTTGATTTCTGGCAATATTTCTTATTTGACGTTTTGTAAGTCAAATAACACGGTGTTAAGTATATTATCTTTTCTTAATATTCTTCCTCTCTTTAACTTTCTTTCTTTATAAATGTGCATATTTTGCCACCTCCCGAAAGTTGCTCTTCCCACATTTGTACCTGTACCCACAAATCGATTTTGTTTTTTGCTTTACTCGTACAACTGACATATCTTGCAGTAATTCCTCTCCTATGGGGTATTTAATGTACGCGCTTAAGTTTGCCACCTCTATTGGATAGCACTTCCCAAAACGTATTTAATCATCCAACAGTTGTATGTCCGCCACTTGAGACGCCACCCAATGGCCAGAAGAATGTAACCAGTGGTTACCAGGTTGGAGCTGAAGTGACCTTTGCCTGTGACAACGACTACATTCTACAAGGATCAGCCAATAGAACTTGTCTTTCTAGCGGGCAGTGGAGCGGCGAGAACACCTCATGTCAATATGTTGGTAAGACAATATGTACACAATATCCTTGGAGCTCTAGTTGCTTTGCTGCAATATTTCTCGTTTGACGTTTTTCAAGTCAAATAACATGTTGTTAATATATTATATTTTCTTAATATTCTTCCTGAAATATCTTGCAGTAATACCTCTCCTATGGGGTTTTTAAATATACATACTGTAGTTTGCCAACTCTACTGGGTAGCACTTCCCAAAACGTATTGAATCATCCACCAGTTGTGTTATGTCCACGACTTGAGACGCCACCCAATGGCCAGAAGAACGTGACCAGTGGTTACCAGGTTGGAGCTGAAGTGACCTTTGCCTGTGACAACGGCTACATTCTACAAGGATCAGCCAATAGAACTTGTCTTTCTAGCGGGCAGTGGAGCGGCGAGAACACCTCATGTCAATATGTTGGTAAGACAATATGTACACAATATCCTTGGAGCTCTAGTTTCTGGCAATATTTCTTATTTGACGTTTTGTAAGTCAAATGACATGGTGTTAAGTAAATAATCTTTTCTTAATATTATTCCTCTTTTTTACTTTCTTTCTTTCTTTATAAATGTACATATTTTGCCACC